CAGGCCCCCTGGATGGAAGAGCCCCAATGCTCATACCTAGACTCTCTGTTGCCTAAAAGAATATCCTAATTATCTGTGTAACCACAGAGAATCCTAAATTCTACTATGCTTATTGCGGTATGACCACAGGCCTATTGATAATTGTCCACTGTTAACTACCTAGGCTTAAGGCATATGAATCATGGGTTAATTTTGATTGTATCTTTCTTTTCCTTTGTTCAGACTAGTTTCAGGGAGTTTGGGGAGGTGGGTTTGGGCATGTACACTTAGGGTATATAAGGTTTTCAGAAAAACTGGTTGGGGTCCTTGGCTAAGAGGAGACTCTGTCTTTGGCCTGCCGGTGTAATAAACTGCACTCCACTATCTGCATTGTCCTTCTGAGTGAGTTTGTTTCCCAGAACGCATGGCTACATTTACTCAGTCTTCCACTCAAAGTTTCATTCTGAGTTTAAATTTTAAAGTGTTCACAAGTGCATGAACATGCACAAAATGAAAATATTTTCATTGTATATAAATCAAATATTCTAGAAATAGTCAAAATTCAAAGCGTTTTTCCATCCGGCACTAACTACTCCCAACCTCTTCCTGTTGCACTTTTCCATATAAAATCTGGTGTGGTTCCTTCCCCACTTTCATCTGGATATTTGCATATTTGTATGTTACATATATAGTTTCATGTTGCAGGGCATATCCTTTTTCCCCATAAGTTGTTCTGAAAAGTTTTATCAATATACATATACATGGTTTCCTTTTCTTCTTGTAGAAAGGGTGTGCCATGATTTCCTGATATTTCCAATTTTCTTCCCTTTTTATCTCTATTTTTCCTCTTTAAAAACAGTATAGTAAGAGTCATCCTTTTATGTATCTTTGCTCATCTGAAAGTTCATCTGAAGAGAGTGGGGAGGAAGGAGTTAAAGTATCTGGGGTTCTGGGAAAGAAAGAAGGCAGGTAACACATAAATTTCTTGCAAATGTGCTGAAAAAGACCTCCTGGCTGATAGACCAGTGATATTTGCTAGATCTCTTATCTATGGAATGCTCTTAGTAGGATGTGGCTGGTTAAGAATTGCTATGGTAAACAGAATTTATGGATTCATGAGGCAAGACTCCTGAGAGTCACATCAGCTATATAACTATATAGGGCACAAAATGGCCATGTTGCCTTGTCTCTAGGCTCCCTGCTGTGTTTGATGTCCCACAAATCTCATGAGTGATCTTATCTATTACTTGTTCAAAGTAAGAATGAAAGGTCCAGGAAGTATGCAGGATTTTTCATATCTCTTGCTTAGCCAGTGCCTTGATCACTTGTGTTCTTGAAATTATGAGTAAAGCTCTATATGGATAAGATCTCTGACGCATGTAAGTATGATCTGACATACTGATCCTGTGTGTTAGCATAGAGATTACTGGAGGATGGCAAGCTGTCATCCAAGGTTGTAGCAGTTTCCATTCTCGCCAAGAGCACAGGTTTCTCAGCAACACTGACTAGTTCCAATAATCTGAGGGCCAATAACCCACTGCCATTTAAATTTGTGTTTTTGCTAATTAGTATCATTTTTATATCTTGTTGGTTCTTTGGATTTGTGTATGTGTGTGTGTGTGTGTGTGCATTTTCTACTAGTGATATTTGACTCCTTTTTAGGATAAATTTTTTCTTAATTTGAGAAACATCACAGTGTAATAATATAGTATGTGGACTCTGGGTTCAAATCCTGGCTTGCCACTTGCTAACAAGCATGTCGCCTTACCTAAGTTCTAGTTTCCTCACTCAATGCCTATTTCATACAGTCACATGAAGATTATACAAGATAATGTATGTGAAACACCAAAAATATCTCCTGGTACATAGTAAACGTTCAAATGATAGCCAATCAAAGAAGCTCTTTATATATTTTGTATATTAATTCTTAGATTATTAAATATGTTGTGAATATTTTCTCCTAGTCTGAAGCTTATGTTCTTACTTTGCTTAGATTTTGTTTAAATTTGTCAGGAAGGAAATTTCTTATGCAATCAAATCTGTCAATCTTTTCCTCTGTGGATTTTGCTGTAACTTGATTTTTCAGCTGAACCATTTTATCGAACTGACCATTCCAAATTTCAGCTGTTTTCTTTAACTCATTTTTTGATTTTGTGGTCAAATCATAAGATGCTCCTTTGGTCTCCGCAGACATCACCCTTGTATTTCTTTCATGGAAGATAATTATCAGTCACTCATTTTTCACCCTTCCATAAAGATCATGTTCTTTTTGTCCTGGCTTCTCTTTCTACATCATACCCCCATATTGACTCTAATGTCTCAACACCAGCCCCCGCCAACACAGGCAGATGACACTGAAATTTTCAGAGCAGTATTTTCTACTGTTTGACATATTTCTAACATATGTTCCATAATCACCTTAAATTTCTTCTAAAACTGAGCTTTATATACCCCCTTTACGTATACTAAAATATAATGCCTGCTAAGGAATACTGTTGGGCCTTTTTCTTTAACAGTACAGACAGAATATTTTTAAACTTTTTATTTTGCATTGGGGTATAGCTGATTAACAATGTTGTGATGGTTTCAGGTGAACAGAGAAGGGACTTAGCCATACATATACAAGTATCCATTCCCTCCCTAACTTCCCTTCTATACAGGCTGCCACATAACATTGAGCGGAGTTCCCCATGCTATACAGTAGGTTCTTGTTGTTTATCCATTTTAAATATAGCAGCGTGTTCATGTCCATTCCAAACTTCCTGACTATCCCTTCCCTTCAACCTTTTCCCCAGCAACCATAAATTTGTTCTCTAGGTCTATGAGTCTGTTTTTGTTTTTTAAGTAAGTTCATTTGTATCATTTCTTTGTAGATTCCACATACAAGGGATATTTTGCCATATTTCTCTTTCTCTGCCTGACTTACTTAATTCAATATGACAATCTCTAGGTTGGGATGGAATGTTTTTAATGAACAAAAGAAGAGAAATATGATGATGAATCAATAATATGCAGACTCTCTAGGAGGACACCGCAAAACTGCCAAAAGTGGTTGTGACAAGAGGAAAAGACATACTTTTCACTTAACTTTTCTCTTTTGAATTTTTGTATAATGATGTATATACTTATTCAAAAATAACACAAACCTAACTACAAATAAATAAAAGGGAACTTGTCATCAACCCCACCAAATCTATACCCAGTTTTGGCTGGTGGTGTTACTTATCTACCCAGTCTCTGCTAAACACTTGGGAAGCATCCCCCTTCTCCTCAGATGTGCATCCAAGTACTATATTCTATCAGACTGACTCAGAAATGGATCCTTCATCCACCTCCTCACTCAACAGGGACTCTAAGAACACACAATGCGCTAAGCACTGGGCAGAGGTAAAAAATGGACTTTGTGGGAGAAGGCGAGGGTGGGATGATCTGAGAGAATAGCATTGAAACATGTATATTATCAAATGTGAAACAGATCGCCAGCCCAAGTTGGATGCATGAGACAAGTGCTCAGGGCTGGTGCACTAGGATGACCCAGAGGGATGGGATGGGGAGGGAGGTGGGAGGAGGGTTCAGGATGGGGAACACATGTAAATCCATGGCTGATTCATGTCAATGTACGGCAAAAACCATTACAATATTGTAAAGTAATTAGCCTCCAACTAATAAAAATAAATGAAAAAAAAAAAGAAAAAAAAAAAAAAGATGGTGAAATATCCTCACGAAGTCAGTACAACTCCCTGAGGGAGCCCACAGCCTAGACTGCAGAGCAGTTGTACAGCATAACTTAATAGTATTTCTTAAACAGCTAATTTCTTAAGTCATTTGCAAGTATTTATTTAGGTAGGAGATCATAAAATATATTTTTATAATATACACAAGAAAAAACACATTTGAATGAATACAAAATAAAATGACAGGAGGTGACAGAATTTAGTGTTTATAAATGAGGCCATCAATAACTAACAATTTAAAGAAGAAATTGAAAGTGTACTTAAAGTTGAGCCTGTGGTTTACATTTACAATCTTTTATAATTGAATAAAAAAGGCATTAGACTTTTAAAGGTAATATATGACTTAACAGTTTTTCAAGTGATTTTCATAATGGATTTCTAGACACTGTCATACATGGATGTGGAAAAAAAAGACAAGAATTTAGGCAAGCAAAGTATTAGTCCATAGCAGCTTGGTGAGGTTTACTTTTCTTACATAAAGAGTCTTCAAATTTATATTTATTCTTATTATAGGAGCAGAAAGAAGTAATTTGCCAGGTATATTTGAGGAGCCTGTAAGCTATATAGCAAAAATAGTTATTTTTAAAAGCCTGTATTCCATGGAAATGTGCATCACACAGCATCTATAGTAACTGAGTAAACATAAACCATGTGATTAAGTCTTCTAAATAAAACATTTAACCCCCAAATCTCACACAATATCCCCCATGTCCACGTCTTATTTGTTGGCAGCCATAAGCTTCAAAATACGCATTTGCTATTTTAAAAAGGTTCTTACCTCCATTACTAAAAATGTTTCTGCAAAGTCCCTTAGCATTTTTTTCAGTGCTCTAGAAATAAGATATATCATGATCAGTAAATGACCACAATCTTCAGAAAAAAGTACTGACACTAGAGAAAGAATGGTCAAGTTGAAGGTTTCTGTCTCCAGTTGTGGAAGATCTTTCTACTTTGAGACCCACAGCTCTAAGGAGACATTTAAAACAAATGTTTTATCATGAATAATTGGATAATTAGATATCTAGGAAAATGAGGCTTTTAAATTAAAATTTAGCAAAATCGACTATAATAAACTTTTTTCTTCTAATCATATATGAATAACAGAAGTGAAATCCGGTGAAGTTTTACATACAAAGATATAAATACTGCATAATATGTAGTGAATGAATATTGGCACATACCCTTTTGTATTTAAAGCATAAAATGCAACCAGCAAATCTGATGCTCTTAAGATACATTTATGACATAGGTCAGAAAACCTCTATACACATGGAAATGTCCCACAGTTTAAGGCTTTCCAATAGGTTTATAGCAAGCATCAGGTTGCCAGAGGCGAATATCAACGAGAACTTGATTGAGTTTTTGCATCCAGAGATCCCGTTCTTCCTTGGTATCTGCAGATAGCCAGTTCCTACAGGAACAAACAAAAAGATCAGGATCCTTTCCCCTATTCCATACCTCCAAGTACTCTTACTGGGGTGAAGTGGGGGGAGCCTAAACAATAAAAGGAGTAACTCTGCCCTTTTTAATGGATGCCAAATTAGGAATCCATAGTAAAGTGCCTCTCCAATTACAATAAAAGAAAATCATCTTGTGGATTGGTTAGCTGAGCCATAACTCACACCAATCACATGAAAATGATGGAACTTCACATCAAAGACAGTAACTAATCTTGCACAGGTGATCTGATTGGACAATTTGCTGGTGCCAAGACAGTCACTGAGGGTGGGTGGGTCACCTCTTAGAAGAGCAAGCACACCACACACCTGAATATGGGGACCAACCCCCTAGATCCCTGACTCAGGCTCCCCAGGAGCTCCACAGACTCATGGACCTTCACCTGGCCTTACAGATAATACTATTTTATACTGTCTCCTTTTTTCTTTTTGCCACACTGTGTTAGTAGAGCACTGTATTTACAATAAGTGATCTAAAGATCCTAAGATTTTGTTTATCCTAATCTCTCTGTTCACACATCTCTTCCTTATATCCATATTCAGTTAAAAGTTGAATAGTTGATGGGGCAGGTGAAGGTGGGGGAGAGGGAAATTCCCTAAGTCACAAGTCAGACCATTCTTCTAGACTACAGCCAGGTGTTAGAAGGATGTTGTATTATACTTCTACAGCTTTATAATTTCTCCACATTGGTACTAGTAATGGTAGCAGCATGAATAAGCAGTGAGTTGATCATCTATTAATAAATGGAGGGAACGCATTTATAATATAGACAGCGACCATTTGCTGAGCGCATTCCAAGTGTATGACAAAACGCTAAGTAGACCTACTCATTAACCTTTACTGTCACTCTGTGGAGTTTATTCTTTTCTTATGACACAAGAGATTTCAGAGAGCCAGCAAAGTTAAGTACCATGCCATAGTCACGTTCAGTAAGTCACTGAGTTGGGATTTAAACCTACATCAGTCAGTCAGTGAGTCAGGATGTAAACCTAGGTCTGTTGACCTCTCAGTGTTCAACTGTACAATACAGCTTTCCCATGTGATGAAGCATTTCTAGTTCAAATGTTTAATTTATATTTCAAAGTAGGCACTACTGATCAGATGATAAATACTTTGCATTGAAGGAGGGAAATATAGCAAGGTTGGTTTGTAGAAATAAAAGTGTGATACATTAAATTTAGATAAAAGGCATAGGTCAGAAAGGCCTTGGGGAGAAACAGATAAATAAGGCAAAGGAGAACGTATAACTGTAAAATGTATATACTCTGCAAAAGGTATGATCAAAAAGTGAAATAAGTTTTAAGAAGCCACCAAGCAAAGCCAAAGACTCAGTCAAGACTGAATTGAGAAAGGGCCTCTCTCAAATGCTTGGTCCACTCAAATTGTGATAATGTTATAATGAGAAAAATTACATGCAAGTGAAGTACAGCATAATTAGAGCAATATGTGATATAACTATTTCCACCAGAGGAGAAGGTCGAAGGAGAAATCTGGGAAGGTTTATGTAACAAGTAAAAGAAGATTCTATGAAAAATGTGAGTAATGTTTAAAAGGGCCATGGTAGTCAGGAAGTACTTGGGGACTGAATTTTGTTTGGTTCCCTCACTGACTGTGGCCACAGACAGGGTGGCTACTAAAGAAAGTGACTATAAATCCAATTTGCCTCTCCGGTCCTGAATGAGGTCACTGTTGCACAGAAGACCCCCAAAGGAAAGGAATGGAGGAGCTGAATAAACTAAATTAATCTAAAAGCAATCTAGACATCAAGAATTCCCATAGAGTGGGTCCCCTTTCTCTCTGTTTTAAAACAAAATGGCGGCACTGGGGCAACTTTGTTCTATTTTAATAGAGTGTCTCTTGGCTAAGCTATCTGACATTTCCACACCAGAAACTCACAGAGCCAGTTCTACCCATCTCCCTGTCTGCAATAATCAGCTGCAATCTGATTAAGAGATTTTGTCAAATTCTAACTTTTGTCCCTAATCACAATTTTGTACATTGAAATTAGTCTGCAAGCTTCTCTTGGGCATTCAAAGGAAAGAATCTTAGACTCTTAGCAGTAAGTTTCTGCATCTTATACTTAAAGTTTAGGGTTAACAAAAACTGACACTCCCAGTAGTTTATTCTGTCCATCACCAACCAGAAATTTTCAGAGTAGAGTGAAGTACTTTAGGAAGGTACTTTGGTACTTTGGGAATGGACAGGAAAGGACGTGTCAAATCTCTTTAAATAATACTTATCAATTACACATGAAATCTTCAAACTTAACACAAAGAATATTAGCTAACTGCCCCAAAAATGGCTAAACTGTATCGTGGAAAACATGATAAACTAAGATATAACTTGAATGCTGTGTTTTTCTTAACTATATTAATTTTGTTATTACATTCCTCTCTTACTGATATGTATGTGTTTTGTCTTCTCATTCTTAAGTCATACCCTCTTCAAAGACAAAGACCATCTGTCATATTTCTCACAGTGCTAAGGACATAGTGAGCAATCAATTACTTAGTTGATAGAAACATTTATAGCCCAATACATACTTGGTTACACAGAGTGTGTCCCTGCATTGGCTGACCAGAGTCTCTCGGTCATCTTCTCTTTGTGGTCGAACAGTAATTAATTCTAAAGTGTTGCGTCTTGCACAAAATTCTCTGTTGACTGGTTCTATTTGCCGACTGGTACAATTGGCCAAATTTAATCTTCCTATGGGATTCTTTAAAACAAATTTTTTAAAAATATGATTAGTAGAAAATAAATAAAACCATTTAAGTCAGTAAGCATTGAGCAATATTCAACTTGATACCAACTTAAAATAAGAAAGCCATTAATTTAAAAGTTAAAACTTAATTACACAGTATTTAGAGAAACATATTTAATATTTATGATTATTTATTGCTGGATATAAAAATAAAAACCAAAAATGTCAACTGGAGATCTTAGCCAGCTTAAAAAACAAACCATTTGTTATGGAAAACTTAAAATAGATACAAAATAAAAAGAACAGCATAATGAGCTTCCATGTACCCATTAATCAGTTCTAACAAAAACACACATTCAACCCCTTTTGTCTCTAACTCTCTTACTTCTTCCCTTTCTATATACAGAAACCTAGACATAGTATTTCATCTATAAATATTTTTTACGTTATCTCTAAAAAAGCAGGCCAAACTACTGCCTTGGAGTTTTAGAAGCCATGTCATTCCTACAGTATGAGAATTGAAAAAAAAATTTTTTTGTGAGACTAAATGGTGCTGAAAAATGGGAAAAGGGACAGGTATGGGCCCAAACAACATATTTATTTGAATTTATTTTTGGCTGTATGGGTTTTGGTTGCTGTGCCCGGGCTTCTCCAGCTGCAGCAAGCAGGGACCACTCTCTCACTGCGGTACACAAGCTTCTCATCGCAGTGGTCCCTCTTGCTGCAGAGCACACGCCCCAGGCGCAGGCGCCCCAGGAGGTGCTACACTTGGGCTCAGTAACCAAGCAGATGGGCTCAGTCCCCCGCGGCATAGCGCAGTCATCCCGGACCAGGGGTCGTGCCCATGTCCCCTACGCTGGCAGGAGGATTCTTAACCAGGGAAGTCCTGGGCCCAAACGATTTAGAAACTGCCGACAAAAGTGTCAAACGTATTAGTAATTTCAAAAAGAAATTAGAATGAAATACACCATTTTAAAACATTAGATTAACCAAGTCTGAAAAGAATAGTAATAACCAATGTTGATTGGTTGGGGGTAAAAAATTCTTACACACTGCTAGTGAAAGCATAAAACGGTCTATTACTGGTAGACAATTTAATAACAGCGATCAAAAACATTCTAAGTGAGCATATCCAGGCCATACAACTTCACCTAAAAGAAATTTATCCCAACTAAATATATAGGTACACAAAGATGTTTATATAGGTATTGCCGTTGTTTAGTCGGTAAGTCATGTCTGACTCTTTTGCGACCCCACGGACTATAGCCTGCCAGGCTCCTCTGTACCTGGGATTTCCTAGGCAAGAATACTGGAGTTGCCATTTCTTTCTTCAAGGGATCTTCCTGTCTCCTGCACTGGCAGGCAAATTCTTTACCACTGAGCCACTGGGGAGTTCTTATATAGGTGTAGTTGCTGTTTTTTCATAATGCCAAAAAGACTGAAACTAATTTAATGACAGTAATAGGGTACTATTTAAACAAATAATATTATGTTTTCAGCAAGTATGGGAAACTAAGTAGTCTCAGAGTCCTCCCATAACCCCCCAAATGCTAGATAACTGAACTTGTAAGACAGCAAAAGAAACCTTCTTAGGCCAAAATCAATGAGGAAGAGAGTGCAGAATGGTAGGCTAGCCTGAAATGTGGCTTTCTTGGGTTCCTAGCATATTTACCAATGCTAGGAACTGGAAACCTTGACTCACAGATTATATGATATAATATGAAATGTGATATTTGCTTTAAAATACCTTTGCAAACCAACGAGAACAAAAAAGTGTGTGCTGTGGAGAGATAAATGAAACAAGAAAATTAATAAGGAATTTCTCTCTTACTAATTTCTCTTTTTTTGGGTACATTTTAAATTATAAAAAGTTAAATATATAGGTACATCTATTTCTATATGTGTGTGTGTGTGTAAAAAGAATGACCAAGAATAAATACACTACTGAATAAAAACACAAGTTAGAGTTAACTTACCAGGCATAAAGATTTATTTTAAAGCCATGGTAACTGAGAATGAGAGATATAGACCAAAGAAAACAGAATAGAAAGCCGAAATATAGACCCACATATAAAACAATATCTTGATATATTCCAGAAACAGCATGGTGGATGAGTGGGGAAAGAATGGATCATCCCATGATGCTGGCACAATGGGATTTCCAGATTGGGGGGTGGGTGGGATCAATTCCAGGTAAATTAAATGTGAAACCTAAATCTTTATAACTTTTAGAAGTCATAAGGAAGTATATTCTTTATGACTATAGAGATGGTTTTCTTAACTAAGACTCAAAAAAGCAAACAATAAAATAATAAACTGGCAGATTTATCTTAGCATTAAAAATTCTGTTTATGAAAAGACACTATAAGGATAAATTAAAGCATATGCCAAGCAAAAGACAAGAAAAACAAGCGGCCAAAACACATAAGAAAAGATGCTTGCTCAATGCTCAGTCAAGGAAAATTAAAATAAAAACACAGTAAAATAACATTTCACACCTATCATACTCAAGAGTTTAAAAGGCTGAAATAACAAATGTTGCTGGGATGTGGAACACTGACAACTCCTGGTGGGAACAGAACGTTATACAACCAATTTCAAGATTCACCAGAAAAAAATCTAGCTAAACTGAAGACGTGCAAAACCCTACAAACCAGAGATTCTGCTACTAGACACAGAATCGAGAAAGAGCTCTGATCCAGCTTGGTGCTCTGTGATGACCCAGATGGGTGGGGTGGGGGCCTAGGGGTGGAAGGGAGGTCCAAGAGGGAGGGGTGAAAAGTATACATGTAGCTGATTCACTTTATTGTATAGCAGAGACTAACACAACATTGCAAAGCAATTATACTCCAATTTAAATAAAAAAGGAAGAGCTCTGATCCATATAATTAAGTCATAGCAGATCTGTTTATAACAACGACAATTTGAAATAACTAAGTGCCCATAAATAAGAGAAGTGTATAAATTGATTCTGATACATTCTTCTAATGGAGTATCTCAGTACAGAGAAAGATGGCTAGAGCTCTGCAAACTGGAGGTACATACACACTACACACACCAGCCTACACTAATTTCACAAATCATGTGATTCAAACATGCAAGTTGCAAAAAAGAATATACAGTATGATACTATTTGTAAAATGTTTCAAAATATGCAACTGCAATAATAAACTGTTTATATATATCACATATAAAAAATTTAAAGAAATATATGGGAACGAAATAATTTTAGGATGTGGTTATCTCTGTGAGGGACAGAAAATTATATAAAGAGCTTCAACTGGACTGATAATACAGAGGCTGGTGAAAATTATGTTTTTTTGAATGTTCCAAATATTTCACAATAAATTTTAAAATAAAATTTTACATGGCTACAATGTAATACATACAGTTATCTAATGCAATATCATAGATGTATTTTTACCTATGTGGAAAGATATCAGGACACTATCAAGTAAAAATCAGTTTAAAAAGACATCATATTTTCTGTTTAAAAGATTCATAAATGGATATATAATTATTATATATTATACATTTAAAAAATTTAGAAGGGTATACAACCAAAATGTGAACAGTAGTTATCTTTATAGATGAGTTTACTTTATAATTCTGTTTATTTCTTTTTTCCAGTCTTTGTATAACAAATTATCACACTTGGGCAATAACATCAAATTTTTAAAAATTAAGATGCAATGTATTACATAAAATTCTATTATCAAATTTTAGAAACAAACTAAAACCACAATATTCCTATGGTGGTTTTCTCTTTCTGTTTTATCCCAGATTTAGGTAAATCAACTGTTAATAAAATACAAAAGTGAATTTAACATATTTCTGACTAAAAATCAATTTAAAAAATTACAAAACATTCCAGAAAAAAAAAAAGGAAAAGAAAAATGCCTTAAGGTATTTAATAATACCTTAAATACCTTAAGGTTTTAAAGAGTGGTCAAATCACAGGGAATGGATAAGATATAAAATTCTTACACAAATACACACACACACACACACTCACTACATTTTAATGGCTTAGTAAATAAACTTGAGTGCGGAATTTGGGTGGCTTATGGCCACAGGGAACACTTGCATAAAATATTACCTGCAAGTCAGTCAGAGCTTTCACCACTGACCATCAATATTAATATTACCTTTCGTTTTTCATCATCTGGATAAGTCCAATAAGAGATACAGTTTCCAGAAAGAACACACCATCTTCGATGCCAGGCACCAAAACCACTAACATCTTCAAATATGGTCTGAAAAAGTCAATGAAATATTGACTTTAGAAACCTGAGGATCAATTAAATGTTTTCTATACATTAAACTTCAGTATGCTGACATATTTCATACTTCAAAATCAACTTTCATGATCTTCTTTTTATTTAAAGTACTTAAGTTTATTTTTTTATTCTACTCTGTATCAAGACCAGAAATCTTGTTATTTCAATCTCAAGAGCAAAGTTAGTACAAATGACTCACTGGCTCCCTTCTGTGTTTGTATTCACCTTTCACATTATAAAGGTAATAGAAAAGGAAAAATTTGATAGATAAAAATAATACCAAGTTATCATTACTCCCTACTATAATCAGAGAAAAATAACAAGAGGACAGATTTTTCATTTTTATAGCTAGGGTAACTGAAGGCCAAGGAAATTAAATGACAATATACAATCACAAAGAAGAACTAGAACCTTCCAGCTAATGCAGAATGTACTTTTCTTGCTACTCATCAGTATTGACGAGCTAGACTAGCACCATTTTAGACTCACTTAGCAAGTTTCACTGGTTGGTAGTCTCCTTCGATCCAGCTGCCCCTGACACATCAGGAAAGAAAACTGCACCAAGTAACTTTAATTTCAATTACTACTTCTATTTTTAAATAAAGGTTAGAAGTAATTAAAAGGCACTGTTTAGACAGCAGACAGAAGTTATTTGTGGGAGTCCAGAGCAATTTTTTTTTACCACATTTCTATAAGTGTAGATGCAATAAGAATGGGCTCTAGGATTCAAGACAGAGTTAACCTGAAAAGATACAATTCTAAACTACTTAAGAGCCCAGCTCAAAAGTTAAACAGGTCAGACCTTATAGGCAAATGAACCAGTTGGCATAAGATAACCTGAAAAGATATAACTCTAAACTACTTAAGAGCCCAGCTCAAAAGTTAAACAGGTCAGACCTTATAAGCAAATGAACCAGTTGGCATAAGAGTCTATCAGGTGCTAAAGGTATCTACAGCAAGATGTGGAAATATTATATTTACATTAAAGGAAAAGGTCAGTAAGTGTACACTGTGTTCAAGTCTGATATTTACAAAAGCACTCTTCCAAGAATATCTAGTGCCATCTGCTGGATGTACACGTGTAAAAGCCACGAAGCCTGATTTACAGACACCTTGGCCGCTTGGACTTGCTGTACAGTCTAGCTCTTCTTGTCAGCAACTGCCAATTGGTTTGTGATACCCGTCATACAGTTCAAACTCTTGCTTCACAAAGAAAACCAAAGCTATTAGATTTTCTCTACTTCTTGTACCACACCCACAATCTTCTGTATATTCTACACACGTATGTTTCTCCTCTGATAATGGAAAAAGTGTAATTCTGTACAAGATCATGAACTGTGGCTTGGATCTTATTTGCTCTCACTCTCATGACTTTGTTCCATGTGTTATTCCTTAACCCTAGTGCAAGTTCCCCATCGCCTCTATCCTCGCCCTCTTTGGCCCTATAGTAGCTACCCATTTGAATTTAAAGACACTCAAGTCTCTTCAGTCCTAATAAAATGTAACAAAATCCTTCTTTCACCCTACATACCTCTGCAAGTACCACATTCTTTTTACCCCACTGCAGCCAAACTTTGTTTCAAGGAGTTTCTACACTCTCATTCTTCATCTTCCATGCCCTTTATAACACATCTGCAATCTAGCTCCTGCTCTTGGCCAGACTAGGATGACCACCTCATAAATAAGCCCAACAGCCTCCAATAACTCCTTACCTAACTGGATCACTCCTTCTTTCAGACTCTCTTCCCCTGGCAACCCTGATACTAAATTATCCCTTGCCCTCACTGTAGTCTTCTCCTCTTAGGTTTGTGCTTAAATGTTAGTGTTCTCCTGGTTATTCAAGTCTGCCTGCACTTTGAATACTACGTCTCTGCTGCAGATTTCCAAACCTTCACCTCATCTAAATTGTCTATCTTGAGTTTCAAACTCAAACCTCTGAAATATGTCTCTAGGCATCTAAACTTCAAGTCGTTTAAAACTTAAACCATTAAAACTTTCTCCCTTGGGTGGGGATTGACTGACAAGGGACATGAGGAAACTTTCTGGGGCAGTATTCTGTATCTTAAAAGAAATCTGGGTTACATAGATGTCAGTCAGTCAGTCAGTCAGTTCAGTCGCTCAGTCATGTCCGACTCTTTGCGACCCCATGAATCACAGCATGCCAGGCCTCCCTCTCCAACTCCCGGAGTTCACTCAAACTCATGTCCATCGAGTTGGTGATGCCATCCAACCATCTCATCCTCTGTTGTCCCCTTCTCCTCCTGCCCCCAATCCCTCCCAACATTAGGCTCTTTTCCAATGAGTCAGTTCTTCGCATCAGGTGGCCAAAGTACTGGAGTTTCAGCTTCAGCATCAGTCCGTCCAATGAACACCCAGGAGTGATCTCCTTGAGGATGGACTGGTTGGATCTCCTTGCAGTCCAAGGGACTCTCAAGAGTTCTACAACACCATAGTTCAAAAGCATCAATTTTTCGGCACTCAGCTTTCTTCACAGTCCAACTCTCACATCCATACATGACCACTGGAAAAACCATAGCCTTGACCAGATGGACTTTTGTTGGCAAAGTAATGTCTCTGCTTTGTAATATGCTCTCTTGGTTGGTCATAACTTTCCTTCCAAGGGGTAAGCGTCTTTCAATTTCATGGCTGCAATCACCAACTGCAGTGATTTTGGAGCCCAAAAAATTAAAGTCTGACACTGTGTCCACTGTCTCCCCATCTATTTCCCATGAAGTGATGGGACCAGATGCCATGATCTTAGTTTTCTGAATGTTAAGCTTTAAGACAACTTTTTCACTCTCCTCTTTCACTTTCATCAAGAGGCTTTTTAGTTCCTCTTCACTTTCTTCCATAAGGGTGGTGTCATCTGCATATCTGAGGTTATTGATATTTCTCCTGGCAATCTTGATTCCAGTTTGTGCTTCTTCCAGCCCAGCGTTTCTCATGATGTACTCTGCATATAGGTTAAATAAGCAGGGTGACAACATACAGCCTTAACGTACTCCTTTTCCTATTGGGAACCAGTCTGTTGTTCCATGTCCAGTTCTAACTGTTGCTTCCTAACCTGCATACAGGTTTCTCCAGAGGCAGGTCAGGTGGTCTGGTATTCCCATCTCTTTCAGAATTTTCCACAGTTTATTGTGATCCACACAGTTGAAGCCTTTGGCGTAGTCAATAAAGCAGAAATAGATGTTTTTCTGGAACTCTCTTGCTTTTTTGATGATCCAGCGGATGTTGGCAATTTGATCTCTGTAAGCCTGTGAAAAAACTCAGGGGATGGATACTGAGGATTCAGGGGTAATGTCCTCGATATATTTTGAAATTCTTCCCCCACAAATATATTTTCAGGACTCATTAGAAGGATAGCTCGGTAGTAGGTACATGATAAAGCAAGGACAGTAAAAAATGCTAATAGCAAAACCTAGATGCTGGGTATACGGGCATTCAAATTCTATCAACATTGCTGTATGTTTGCAATTTTCCACAATTAAATTTGGGGGAGAAACACTTTCCATCCCAAACACAAACACTTGCTCCTCTCCCAGGGTCCCTGATCTCAGTATAGTCACCCAACAAATTGTGCAAGGCAGGGATCTGGGGGACATTATTAATTTTGCTTCTCCACCCCTAGAGCCAAACTCTTCCTTCCTCATCCTTCAGCCCTCCACGATGAGTCCTTCACTCCACCCAGACTGTCAGCCACCATCCCCTCTCTCAAGGAATAATTCAGTCTCCTTGCGAGTCTTCTTCCGGATCCTCACTCCCTGTCCACTTCCATACAGCAGTCAGAACGACCTTCCTAAACTCCCAATTTGATGTTAGTCCTCTGCTTAAAATCCTATAAGAGCACCCCATTGGCTTCATGATAAAGTCATTAAAAGGCTTTCAGACACTTGGTCTCATGTCTCTGAAATACAATTTTCCCCACCCCAATCACTTGCTTCACTGCCCTTCCTCCGCACACACATTCTGACTCTAGATGTGTCACTATCTAAATACCTGCCGCTATCTAGATATGTCATGTTTTTCTCTGGTAGGGGTGAGAGAGGGAAGAGGCCTCCAGCCCATGGTACGTGCCCTTCATCTGGAGCACATCTCCCTCCTCTCTGCCCCTGGCTGACTTGTTCAGTTGCCAGTTTACAAGTTACTTCCAATAGCTTCTGGTAAGCCCTCCCACACATACCTAAGACGTGGTGTCCCACCAATTTGCACCCACGCTCTCTATGCTTTCTCCCATTGCAGTACTACATTGTATTTCTTCCTATTTAACTATAAGTTTCTGTGTGGAGCAATTACTTTTTGCGGCCCATTACATTCCAACACCAACACAGTGATAGGCATATAGTGGTAGGTCATGCAACAAATCTTTACTGAACCAGTTAACTGCTTAGTCACACAGACTTTCATTCCTATGGGAAACCAAGTCTATACTTCAAAAGATGGAAAAAATATATATATAGATCCAGTGATGTTACTTACTAGAAAACCTCTTTCTTCCACACTTGAATTCACCTGACACTTTATTTTTAAATAAATATGACCTTCCAAAGGAGATAGAAAGGGCACCTGTGAGGAAAGAAAGCAAATTATTTGTAAAAGTTTTTCTTGATAAAACATGTTTAAATCATGAATAGCATGAATAGGGAATATTATGCCTTGAAAACATGGTATTTTCTAAAGCAGGAATATAAAGTAGGCGGCCAAAAAGCCACTGGTTCCTTAGCAACAAATGCTTCTGAAGAATAAATTCATTCAACATAGAGTCTGATTAAAAACAGAACCCTAAGTCCCAAGTTAATGTGATAAAGAAAACACAGATTTAAGAAGACAATACATGTGTTTATCCATTCTCTATCAACGGAACATACTTGATACAAGATGGGATAAACCAACTGGCATATTTAAACAGTATAATATTATTCATCAATAAAGAACAGTCAACTACAGAATGGAAAAGTTAATCCTCAAATTCACATGGAACTGCAAGAGGCCCCAAATAACCAAAACAATCTTCAAAACTGTACTTCCCAATTTCAAATCCAAAGCTACAGTAATCAGAACAGTGTGATACTGGCATAAGGATAGACATACAGACCATAGGAATAGAACTGAGAGTCCAGAAATAAACCCATACATTGATAAACCCAGATTGATTTTCAACAAGGGTACCAAAACCATTCAATGAGGAAAGAGCAGTATTTTCAACAAATGGTGCTGGGGAAACTGGACAGCCACATGCAAAAGAGTGAGGTTGGATCCCTACCTCATGTCACATACAAAAATTAACTCAAAATGGATCAATACCTAAATATAAGGGCAAAAGCCATACAATTCTTAGAAGGAAAATAGATGAGTAAATCTTCAGTGATTGTGGATTTGGCTGAGGTTCTCAAATATAATACCAAAAGGCATGACCAACAAAAGAAAAAAATAGACAAACTTCATCAAAATGAAAATCTTTTCAGTATGAGGGTTCCTCAAAATATTAAAAACAGAACTATCATAAAATAAATCAACCCCACTTCTCAGAATTTATCCAAAAGAATCAAAATACACATTGCCAACAAACACATGAAAAAATGTTCAACATCAATAGTCATTAGGTAAGAAGGGAGGCTCAAGAGGAAGGGGATATATGTATACTTATAACCGATTCAGGTTGTTGTACAACAGAAACCAACACAATATCGTAAAGCAATTATCCTCCAATTAAAATTTTTTTTAATTTTTTAAAAAAATAGTCAATAGGTAATAATTGTTAGCTTGATGATGATGCCAACATTAATGATGATGATGAGGATAAGGATGAATATTTTAACAGAAATCTCATGTTGCCATCGTGTCCAAAACCATTTAGTGAGGAATGAATAAAAAGGAATCTGATTCTTTCGTTGGAAGCATAATTGCTTTGAACCAAAATAAACATAAGCTAAATTACAAAACCAACAAGTTATTGAAAACAGAATTTTTTATTGCTTATTTTAAAGTTGAATCATTCTGTACCCATAAAGTTTTTTCTTATTCTTTAGAGACAAATATGTTTCCAACATTTATAATCCTAAAACTCATGCTACAGCTTTAACCATGCTATGGTTGAATTGTGTCCCCTCTCCATCCATCCCTTACCAAAATCACATATTGAAGTTCTGACTCCCCATACCACAAAATGTGACTATATTTGGAGATAGGGCCTTTAAAGAGGTCACTAAAGTTAAATTAGTTCATTAGGAGGAACTCTAATCCAATATGATTGTGTCCTTATAAAAAGAGAAGATTCAGACACACAGAGAAAAGACCATGTGAAAGATACCTAAGACAGCTATCTACAAGCTAAGGAGAGAGGGTTTAGGAAAAACCCACCACCCTCCTCGAAGCCTTGATTTTGGACTTCTAGTCAGCAGAACTGTAAAAAATAAACTGCTTCTTAAGCAAAAAAAAAAAAAAAAAGAGTTAACCCCAAGTAATAAAACACCATCTCAGCTCCACTACTGATTACACTGTCTAAGAGAAAAAAGGGTAATATCACCTACTTCAGACTCTACTGCCTTTTAATAACATAACATCGAGGCTACAGTTCAAAAGTTTTACAAGACATGAAAAAGCAGGAAAAGGTGGCCTTTAATCAAAAGAAAACAAATCCTGTCAATAGCAGGTCCACAGATGATCTAGATGTTAGAATTGTAAGACAAGGAAATTTATACTTTGTTATGGAATTTAGAGGAAAAGAAGGACAAAAATGGGTGAGAAAAGGGAGAATTTTGACAGAGAAATGGAAACTCTAAAGAATATCCAAAAAAAAAAAAATCCCAATGGGAATTTTAGAATAAGAAAAAAGTTGAAACTGAATAGGCTTTCATTGGATAGGCTTTACAGGAAACTGGGCACATTGGAAAAAAAGACATGAACTCAAAGACTGGTAAACAGAAATGATCCAAAATGAAAAACAAAGGAAAAAACAATTAAATAAAAAAAAAAAGTGGGCTATAGATCTGTAGGAACATAATCAAGAGTCCAACATACAATTTAACTGGAGTCCTAGAAAGAACAAAAAACAGGGCAGAAGAAATATTTGATGAGATAATGGCTAAGAATTTGCCAAAACTTGTAAAACATGAACTAGATAGAGCTCCATAAAGTTCATTAAGTTAGTATGAAAAAGAAATGACCCAGTATGACAAAGAAAACCACACCTAGGCAGATAAGGGTCAAACTGTCTCAAATTTTAAAAATTTTAAATATTAACAGTGGAAAAGGGGAATTCCCTAGCAGTCCAGTGGTTAAGACTCGATGCTTTCACTGCTGGGAGCCCAGGTTTGATTCCTGGCCAGGAAACTAAGATCCCACAAGCTGCACTGGCACAGACAAAAAAATAAAAACAGGATTTTCTTAGTTGTCCAGTGATTAAGAATTTGCCTGCCAATGTGGGGGACAGGGATTCAATCCCCTTGGGGAAGATTCCACATGCCTCAGGGCAACTAAGCATGCAAGCCGCAACTACAGAGCCCATGTGCCATAACTACTAAAGCCCACACAGCTACAGCCTATGCTCCGTAACAAGAGAAGCCACTGCAACGAGAAGCCTATGCACTGTAATGAAGAGTATCCCCTGCTTGCCGCAACTAGAGAAAGCCTGTGAGCAGCAATGGAGACCCATCAGAGCCAAATAAATAAAAATAAAGATAATGAGAATTTTAAAAAACAGAAAAGATATAAGACTGGTGGCTGACTGCTGATCAGAAACAAAGTCAGAAAACAAAAAAATGGCAACTTTAAAAGAATGGGTAAAAGGAAAAAACCTGTCAGCCTAGCAGTCCTTCAGAAATGAAGACAATGTAAAGAAAGACATTTTTAGATAAACAAAAGTTAGGGAATTCATTTCCAGCAGACTTGTGCTATAACGAAATTAAAAAACAAAAAACACCTTCTTCCTAAGAAGGCAATAATCCCACATGGAAGTCTGACTCTATGAAATGAATGAATAACACAATAACTGGTAAATACAAATGACAATACTTTTAAATTTCCTTTAAAACTTGATTGAAAAAATAAGTGCATTGGGGTTTATATCAAGGGTAGAAGTAAAATATAACAAGACGGACAATTGCAAGGTTCTAACAGTTGCAAGGTACATAAAGTGTAATTGTATTTCAAGGTAGACTGCAGTGTGACAGTAATAGGCTAAAGATGCATATTGTAATTCTTAGTAATAACTGAAAAACAATACAGGGAGTTACAGCTAAAAAGCCAACAGAAAAGAAAAATGATAACCAAAATACTCAGAAGCAGTCAAGAGAGGAAAAACAAATGAACAAAGAACAGCTGTGACACAGCAAAACAGCACCAGTAGACAATACATAAATAGGCATGATTATGTTTCAATACTTTAGTTACAAAAACAGGCTGCTGAACTTTAGTTAATAATATATCAATATCAGTTCATTAATTGTGACAAAAGTAACTTTTGTCAAAAAAAAAAAAAAAAAAGGCCAAAAGCCACATGTAGCCTGTAGTGTAAGTATGTCTGCTTTGTACTAGACTAAACCCAACCCTATCAGTATTACATTAAATATAAATATATCAAACACTCTAATAAAAAGACAAAAAAATGTTTAACAATAACAAAACATGACCATAAAATATGCTTATGAGACAAAAATTTGACATATATGAACACAGACAAGTTAAGAATAAAAAATGGAAAAAGAGGAGATTCCCCAGTGGTCCAGGGGACCACTGCAGGGGGCATGGGTGTGATCCCTGGTTGGGGAACTAAGACCCCACATGCCACATGTTATGGCCAGGAAAAATAAAGAAGAATGGAAAAAGATATACCATACAAACACTAATCATAAGAAAGCTGATGTAATTCTATTAATAACAAACAAAATAGACCTTAAAGATGACTATCAGAGAGATAAAGTGTTAACAATTCATCAAGAAGATATGATAATCTTAAGTATCTATGTACCCAATAGCATAGCTTTAAAAAACATGAAGTATAAATTGACAAAACAAAAACTAAGTGCCTAAATTGAGACTCTGCTGCTGTTAATGCTTGGAAGTTTGAGGGATTGATATTTTCTTCCAAATAAAACCACGCTTTCTATCTTGTATGAAAATATTCACATAAATATTTTAAATAAATCATTCTCACCAGTATATTAATATTTAGCAAGGAGAGCTCAGGCCAAAAGTATCTTTTAAATAATAAAAGAGCTTAAGTATATGTGATAATTTAAAATAATTTTGAATTTAAATTAAAGATTACAAATACAAGAAAAATTCAATTGGAGAAATTGTGTTATTAGAAAAAATGGCAACATTCACATATTTAAAGTGATATTGACTCCTGGGTCAAGATAGAAAGGCGGATGATTAACTCTGTCATTACTGCTGCCCAGTGAAAAAGAACGACACTGTGATTAGAATAATCGTAGTTCAGTCTAAATTTGAAAGTTTTGACTGAAAGGTTAGTTTATAAAAATTTACTCCTCCACCCTAATAAAGATAAGCTAAAGGGAGAATTCTTGACCAAAAAGTATAGATTTCAACAGACTAATTTCATAAAATAAACTTTCAACTTTCTGAACTTCAACGACATCTATACTGTAATTCTACAATGCTAATCAGGGTCAAGATGTCATATGCCTCATTAACTGCATTTGTTATAAATTCCCTTACCATTTTCTTTTCCATGTTGTCAGTGTTAAGCTCTGAAGGGGATCTCAGAGACAACACTGTGACTTGTCATTACTGGTCAAGACAACATTAAAATAAGCAAACGCTCCCTTGCACTGACGGTCTCTGGAAGCGCACGGAAGACTTGTTTGCTCTCTCAAATTTAATCAAATAGGGTTACTATGTGTATACAGATCACCCATTTCCCCCACCAATTGAAAAAACATCTAAACTTAACTATCTCATTCTCCTACATTAACTGTAAGATATTAGAACAAATATTTCCTCCCCCTGTGACTCAAAAAAGCACACTTGTGACAAATTTTACATCTAAATTGTACTGTATTTAACTCAGGAAGAGACTTTACAGCACTGAACACAAACCAATTAAATTGAGTGATTTTACACTCAGGTCATGTGGTAGGATACTTCAGATATAATTTCAAAACAAATCATTAAGAGAATAAACACATCACAGTTTATTTCTGTGTAACACTAAAATGGCAGTGAAAAAAATTTTTAGAGAGCAGTCTATATTTAACATATGTCATTGACATGATCCTCTACATAGAAAACCTTAAAGACTCTACCAGAAAATTACTAGAGCTAATCAATGAATATAGTAAAGTGGCAGGATATAAAATTAACACACAGAAATCCCTTGCATTCCTATACACTAACAATGAGAAAACAAAAAGAGAAATTGAGGAAACAATACCATTCACCATTGCAACAAAAAGAATAAAATACTTAGGAGTATATCTACCTAAAGAAACAAAAGACCTATACATAGAAAACTATAAAACACTGATGAAAGAAATCAAAGAGGACACAAACAGATGGAGAAATATACCGTGTTCATGGATTGGAAGAATCAATATTGTCAAAATGACTATTCTACCCAAAGCAATCTATAGATTCAATGCAATCCCTATCAAGCTACCAACGGTATTTTTCACAGAACTAGAACAAATAATTTCACAATTTGTATGGAAATACAAAAAACCTCGAATAGCCAAAGTAATCTTGAGAAAGAAGAATGGAACTGGAGGAATCAACCTGCCTGACTTCAGGCTCTACTACAAAGCCACAGTCATCAAGACAGTATGGTACTGGCACATAGACAGAAATACAGATCAATGGAACAGAATAGAAAGCCCAGAGATAAACCCACGAACCTATGGACACCTTATCTTTGACAAAGGAGGCAAGGATATACAATGGAAAAAAGACAACCTCTTTAACAAGTGGTGCTGGGAAAACTGGTCAACCACCTGTAAAAGAATGAAACTAGAACACTTTCTAACACCATACACAAAAATAAACTCAAAATGGATTAAAGATCTAAATGTGAGACCAGAAACTATAAAACTCCCAGAGGAGAACATAGGCAAAACACTCTCTGATATAAATCACAGCAGGATCCTCTATGACCCACATCCCAGAATATTGGAAATAAAAGCAAAAATAAACAAATGGGACCTAATGAAATTTAAAAGGTTTTGCACAACAAAGGAAACTATAAGTAAGGTGAAAAGACAGCCCTCAGATTGGGAGAAAATAATAGCAAATGAAGCAACAGACAAAGGATTAATCTCAAAAATATACAAGCAACTCCTCCAGCTCAATTCCAGAAAAATAAATGACCCAATCAAAAAATGGGCCAAAGAACTAAACAGACATTTCTCCACGGAAGACATACAGATGGCAAAAAAACACGTGAAAAGATGCTCAACATCACTCATTATCAGAGAAATGCAAATCAAAACCACAATGAGGTACCATTACACGCCAGTCAGGATGGCTGCTATCCAAAAGTCTACAAGCAATAAATGCTGGAGAGGGTGTGGAGAAAAGGGAACCCTCTTACACTGTTAGTGGGAATGCAAACTAGTACAGCCGCTATGGAAAACAGTGTGGAGATTTCTTAAAAAACTGGAAATAGAACTGCCATATGACCCAGCAATCCCACTTCTGGGCATACACACTGAGGAAACCAGATCTGAAAGAGACACGTGCACCCCAATGTTCATCGCAGCACTGTTTATAATAGCCAGGACATGGAAGCAACCTAGATGCCCATCAGCAGACAAATGGATGAGGAAGCAGTGGTACATATACACCATGGAATATTACTCAGCCATTAAAAAGAATTCATTTGAATCGGTTCTAATGAGATGGATGAAACTGGAGCCCATTATACAGAGTGAAGTAAGCCAGAAAGATAAAGAACATTACAGCATACTAACACATATATATGGAATATAGAAAGATGGTGACGATAACCCTATGTGCAAAATAGAAAAAGAGACACAGATGTACAAAACAGACTTTTGGACTCTGGGAGAAGGCAAGGGTGGGATGTTTCGAAAGAACAGCATGTATTTTATCTATAGTGAAACAGATCACCAGCCCAGGTAGGATGCATGAGACAAGTGCTCGGGCCTGGTGCACTGGGAAGACCCAGAGGAATCAGGTGGAGAGGGAGGTGGGAGGGGGGATCGGGATGGGGAATACATGTAACTCCATGGCTGATTCATGTCAATTTATGACAAAACGCACTGAAATGTTGTGAAGTAATTAGCCTCCAACTAATAAAAATAATTAAGGAAAAAAAAACACATATGTCATTGAAATCTTTTTCATTTTAGAGATTAATGAAACTGTACATACATAGAAATTGGCTATGTGACAACATTGAGTAAAGACTACAGTTTACAGAACTCCAGTTATGTTTACCTAATTTGCAAATCTTGTTTGAAGAACTTTAAATAAAATAAAAAACACTATCCAGTATTTTGCAAATTAGCATTTCCATATACACCCACAAAATGCTTGCAATTGATCTTCACAGAGATATTAAAAATTCTAAAAAAAAAAAACTTATAAAGTATATGATTATATTTATATAATTTTAGCATTAAATGAATTTGAATTTTAAATAAATAAACAGCATCACCTACATAGCAACATACCTATCAGCCAATTAAGACCATAAAAGTTTTCTGCTTTTACTTAAAACATCACCAATAGGTTTTTCAATAGGTAGGAAGTCAACAATATTGAGTAAATTTTAGTTTTAGAATAGTTATTAAATTTGGCATTTTGGTACCTGGAAAATCAATGTTGAAGTGACCACAAAATCTTAAAGAATTGTAACATGAAAAAAAATACAGGAGAAAAGCCCAAATACCAAACATGCATGAAAAAAAAACTAGAAAACTTTTAGAGAAAGGCTTAAAGAATTATGAGAGTAAAGAAAAAGATACCCAAGGGTCTAAATAAAGAATAATTTACATAATGTCCTTAATTATTCAAAATAACCAAGAAGACATGAGAGTGGTTAGTAAAACAAAAACATAAGGGCCAAATATTAAGGACAATTTTTAAGCTCATTAGTTTCAAGCAAAGAAAATGTGGCAACCTTTTCCTGGAACATATAGCCCAGTAGCTCTTGCTCTTTTACATCATAATTTATCTAAAACGAACAAAATAAAAGACAAAGAGAAAAAAAGACCCAGAATCACTCAATTTGTTAATCTAGCTGAATTACTAAATTAAAAGTTACATGAATTTTTTTTTAAACATCGCTATATTCTGACCACAGAAATTTCTTATAGTATGTTTAAATAGTCTGTATTATACAGCAGGAGCCAAACCTAGTACTAAAGTTTGCCTCTACTTCTCTTACTAATTAAAATGGTCTTGTTCGCTATTAAAAGTTTAGTCCTTATAGTGTGGTAAAAAGCACTCAACAGTGATATTACAAAGATTTAAACTATGAAGTCTTAAACTTGGAGAGGAAAGTATGGGAAAGAAATCCCTTAGATTCATGAGTACTTTTCTAAGAAATTAACCTATCTTTCCCTGTTTTGTAAAACTAAATGTAAAAAATGTTAGTCATGTCAAAATATTGGTTTTAAATGAGCAAGATACTGTTTTAAAACTGTAAGCTTAACATCTATATTCAAGAAGCATATTTTCTTAGTCAGAATTGACATTTAGAATAAACCAACATAAACTGCTTTGAAGACTTAACTATTAAGTAAAGGGAGAAATACTTCCAACATCAAAAAACATATCATGCATATAAGGACCTATATCCAATTAACATACACAATTCTAAGAGCATATAACATTCAGCCAAAGATTTCAAATACTTGAAATGGGACATTTCCATTGACCTAACTTTTCTGTAAATAAATAAATAAATTTGGATTACCCTGTCCAGAGCAAATTTTGTGTTTCCTATTGAAGATAACGACAGAGTGTAAGATCCAACAAGGGCAAAGTTGCTGGTCCGCACAGCATTAAGACTGGCCATAACTAAAGAAAAACAGAACAAAGTTTAGGTCAGAGTGACTATGCTACTGTATAAAATAACAATTCCTCACCCCACCCTAATAGAATGAAATTAAATTGCCACAGAAAAAAAGAACAAAACTGCTTCATTTTCCTTTATTTCTAATATGGGGGCAGGGTAGGGGGACTAAACATCAACATGTTTCCTAATGAAAGTAAACTGCTAAGTATTTATATCTAACTTAAATGAGGTACAAGCACTCCTTAACATTTGAGGCAGATGTTTTTAAAGATACAGAACCCAAAAATGTGTATGTAAAAAGCAACTTTCCTATAAAAGACATGAAAGGACTTTACTGCTATAGCCTAGGATGACATAACAAGCAGCAGGACTTTATCTGTGTGGTTCTTCTCAGCTATTCTCTTCTGCCAAGAAGCAGAGGTCTAAAGTCCAAAGATGAGGGAAACCAACTCAACCCTAACCCTCTTTGGAAAATTTTGGCCTAATGCTACTCTGGAAAAGTCTTTCCTGGCTTACTGGCACCCCAGTTCCCAGTGAACTAGAAAGACGTTTTTCTGACATGATACAATTGTCATGATCAGTACAGTTAAAAGAGGTAAAATCTACAGTGTGAACAGCACAAACTAAATCTACAGAACAAGAGCAGCTATGGTGAAGAGTAATGCTACTTGCTGCAGTTGTAAAGTGACTAGGTATCCTATGTGTAGTGCCTGCTAGAGTCCGAATAATGTGTAGTTTGGTGGCCTGTGGTGGTTTCTGACAGCAGGCTATTCTGGCTAGTAATCTTATAGGTTACTATAAGCCATAAAAAAAATATTATTCAAAGGAGACTAAAGTAGATACTCATAAATCAAGAGGGTTACACGAATAAGTATTCAATTGCTTAGTTCTTTTTCCTTATTCTAGTGTTTCAAATAGTTCAAGATTCACTTACCTGAAGAATGAAGGGTGCTTTTCTAAAAAAAAAAAGGCATGAAGAAGAACATGTTATTTTCTTTATATGATACAAAGATTTAAATAGTAAGTACAAAAGTTTAACACTGCAAGGACTATATTTCAGAAAACATTATTTTTTCCTTTTAGGATATTTTAAAGATTACCAAAGCACTAAGGGTGTAGAAATGGTTAGTTTTAGTTACTCAGTTGTGTCCAACTCTTTATGACCCCATGGACTATAGCTTGCCAGACTCATCTACCTATGGAATCTCAAGGCAAGAATACTGGGCGGGGCGGGGGGTAGCCTTTCCCTCCTCCAGAGGATCTTCCTGATCCAGGAAGAGAACCCAGGTCTCCCAAATTGAGGGCAGTATATGTGGAAGGTGAAGATTTTTCAAGGAACTTCAACTTTTTGAAAATTCTACTTACAGAGGTTACCGATGTGAGAAGTCGCTTAGGAGTAATAGCCTAGAAAAAAGATAACTTAGTATATTTCCTATTTAACATTACGATTCAGAACTTTAACTAAACTTGAGATTCTCCCACACAGAAAATAATTCTTAAATATCAATACATTTTGCCTGAGTTCTTTATTAAGGTTTTTCCCCATTCTGTTATTCCTTTTTCATTAAAGTTAAATAAAATTCTTTTAAATGATGATATAGAAAAAGAACAAAAGAGCAAAGGCTAGGAAGGACAGAAACTAAGGAGTTTCTATTCCACATGCCTACAGCAATCACATCATTCTTAAGTATTGCTTAGAGGAGCTTGTAAGACAAAAGTTCAGAGGAGAAGCTTGAGAAAGCCTAGAGACTCTCTGGTGGCTCAGTCAGTAAAGAACCTGCCTGCAATGTGGGAGAGCTGGGTTCGATCCCAGGGCTGGGAAGATCCCCTGGAGGAGCACACAGCACCCCACTCCAGCACTCTTGCCCGGAGAAGTCCATGGACAGAGGAGCCTGGCGGGCTGCAGTCCGCGGGGTCACAAAGAGTCAGACACGACTGAGCGACTAGGCACAGCGCATTATTAAGTTAGTTGTCAAGTAGATACAGAGAAAATAGAATTTCTAGCCTGAGTGTATCAGTAGTTTATAATTAGGGTTATGGGCACTCACTGTAAGTTTACTCTCAATATTCATATCTAATAAATGCAGTAACTAGAAATCTGAGGCATAAAAATGACCCAAGAGCCTGATAATTCTTTAAAGCTATGCATAATTTTAGACTGACATTATGTCTCGTACTCCTGATTATATTTTTACTGCGTCTCTTTCATTCTCACCTTTGACTTGTATGCTTTTTTCTTCTTATCAGGGCCTGAGGGATCTTTCCTTTGTACCTACATACAAATTAAAGAAGAATTTAACTTAAAATCTGATTCTTTTAAGAAAAACACACCATTAGTAATTTTAGAAAGCTGTAACTGCTTACCAAGCTGTAAACTTCAATATTTATTTCAAAGTCATTGGACACATCTTGCCTGGAAAAATAGAAATATCAAATTATGCCATTAAAAACGATGTCATAAATACTGTTACAGGACTGAGAGTAAAGGAATTCACTATGTTTTAAAACTAAAGACAATAGTTACAAATTATTAAAGAATATAGAAATTGGTAAAAAGTCAATTTTTTCCCTATAAGTCAAACATTTTCTTCAGTTTTTACAACTCAAGATCTTAATAATAAAAATAACTTTTTTTCTAAACTATATTTTGACTCTACTTTCAAAATATGTAACACTAAATACAAATGTCTTACACAGAGACTAAATGTTAAGTACATTCATAGATTTAAAGCATATATTAAAAAATTGTGGTCCAGATTTTGTGTGTGTGTATAGTAAATATATATGTTAAAACACTTCAAAATATCAACAGATATTTGATCAATACCTGCAGACACATGGAAGAAACATGCTATTCAATGGAAGACTGGAAACATAAGAGTTAAATCAACAAATTGAAAAATGAGATATTTGTCCATATAAAAAAACATACATATTACATTTCCAAGATTATGAATTCTACCTGTATGCTTAGCCTATATTAATTCTATTAAAAGAAAAACATGTTTCAACCACCAAAAGCCTAATTTACTTACAGAGTAAATGTAGTAGTGAATGTTAGAGCGTCACCGTTAAGAGAATTTGAAGTACTTGCTAATGGTGTGGCTACCATATTTTCAGCTCCTGCTTTTAGTATAATTAAGAAATAGTAATTTGCTGCATCTGCAAGAAATAATTACATTACCTAATAAGCACAAGCAGAATCAGATTTAGCTAATTAGCATTCTGGAAGATCAAATGAATAAAGTAATACTGTAACTGATTTATATAAAATTTATTTAAAATTTTCTAAAGTCAACTTTCCAGACACAAAAAGACAAATCATAAGTGGACAGACATACCTGGAATAGCATCATCAAGATATCTTCCTATTATGTGAACTGAAAAAACTTCACTATACATTCCTCAATTTCTGCTGACTTTAAATTTTACCTATTGACCTGAAATTCTTCAGCTAATAGTATATATCCCAAAAGGGTATATTCTGGCTTGTTATTTCAAAACTGAAATTAAAACACTATATTTCTGTGAAAGTTACCACCTTGTCCTCTTTTTCAGATACTGGTGCCATAACCTCCTTTATCCACCTTGTTTAAATATCATTTTAAGTAGAATACACAGCTCAGAAAAGTTTACTTAATTTAGAGGGTTAAACGAAATAAAATTTCAATAGAAGTAACTATACTGTCATGCTCTTAACTCCCACAACCAGTAATTCAGGATTCAAAAAACAGATTTCCATAATGGAGTGAATTTTACATAGAATAGAGTAAGTAAAATAAGTTATTTTAGATGCCCAATACTTTCCACGAAAAAATGAATGAAAGTGAAATGGTCTGTTGTGTCGGAATAACTTGCCTTGGTAATTTATGTTCAGTATTATGTTTAACAAGCCTTACTTTCAGTTAGAGCCATTTGTGCTATTGTGTAGATCAGTAAGACCATACATGAAATTTTTCCTTGGGTATTTTTAGATACATATTTACATAAAAGGAACTCAAGGCCTGAGATTTACAAGCCTTGCTTCTTTCCAGATACTCTACTTGTTCACATTTGCACAATTCCAACCTATGTGACGTTCATAATTTAACAATGATGTAGAAGTGACAAAATAAAGATCACCGTACCTGGTTTCTGAGCTGTACTGCAGACAAAATCTGCTTTCAGAGGCAAGCGGATTTCTGACAAAGTAACTGATCCTCTGGAAGGGACAAATTCACTTTGGGATATGGGACCAGCCTTATTCTTCCTCTGAGGCCCTTCATTCTTCAATTTATTCAACTCATCAATCAAAAGTGTTCTCTTCTCAGCTGTGTAGAAATATGCAAGTTAATATTTCAAATATTAAAACTGCAATTGTTTCTAAATGAAACCAATGCAAGAAAATGCACTCATGTGGCAACCATACACAATACCAAAGACAAAAATCAATAAGTCTTCCTTCATATAAACAGGTGATAGGTAGTTAGGTAAAACCTTGATCACCCATCTGTTCACAAAATGCTCACTACTCCAACTTTTGGTCAGTTTTCTTGTACAGTTAATGTCTCCATCCTGTCATCCTTCATCACACATACACAACACAACAAAATTCATATACTTGTTTTTAGCTACACATACAGAGATAGTGTGTATGTGTATAAATATATTCATATATTCATTATCAGCACACTCTACAACATTTCTTCAGATGCACTCCAGATTCTTTCACCCTTTCATATAAACTATGCCTTATTTTACATGCAAAGTTTTCACAAACCTCATAAAAAAAAAATTAAAAACAGATCGGCTGAAACAGACTATCAAAAAAAGCCCTTTCCTAGAATTAGAAATTTCCGAATATATGAGACAAAATGAGCTTTTCCTGGAGTGAAACTGTGTTGGAATTGTTTTGGGTGTACCACACATACTTGCTATTAGAAGAAGTCTTTCTGCCTCAGCTTCTTCCAGTGACCCTTTTCCATGTTCTTCATCAACACAACAGTTAAGAGCCTGACTAGCCTGATAGATCACTGTCTGCTGCAAATTTATTTCATTATTGAGTTCCTAGTGAAACCAATGAGAGGAGAAAAAAAATTCACATTGAATCATGATTTTTACTTTATTTAAGCTTTATTTATAATTTATCCAATTTAGTAATTTCTAAAATCTCCAGAGAGAAAAGTCAAAATGTTAGTTTCACTGTTCAAGTTTCTAGACTATGCACCAAAAACATTTAACATATCTTTTTCATTATGGTTTATCATAGGATATTGACTATAGTTTCCTGTGCTATACAGTATATCACATTGAATACAGTTCTCTATGCTATACCACTCAGGGCTTCCCAGGTGATGCCAGTGGTAAAGAACCAGCCTGCCAATGCCGGAGATATAAGAGATGTGGGTTCGATCCCTGGGTCAGGAAGTTCCTCTGGAGAAGGAAATGGCAACCCACTCCAGTATTCTTGCCTAGAGAATCCCAGGGACAGAGCAGTCTGGTGGACTGTAGTCCATGGGATCACAAAGAGTTGGACACAACTGAAGCAAGCACGCATGCTATACAGTAGGACTTGGCTGTTTATCCATTCTATGCATAATAGTTTGCATATGCTAATCAAATTCCCAATCCATTCCTTCCCCGTGCCCCTCCCCCTTGGCAACCACAAGTCTGTTCTCTATATCTTTGAGTCAGTTTCTTCTTCATAGGTAAGTTCATTTGCATATGACAAACATTCTTAAAAGTAAATATTTCAGTAATATCAAACAAGCTTCCAACTTTTCCAGTAAAGAGGACTTTTCTCAAACTGAATTCAGGACTGAGTTCCTGAGGCCCTGCAAGCCAGACACTATCCGAGTCACTCTGGATACCCAGATGAATAAGACTGGGTCCTTGTCCTCAAGCTCACAGTCTCAAATCCCCCTTCCAGTGAAGTACATACCTGCATCTTCTGTTTGATGTTAACCTGACAAGGAAAACCATTCTTTTTTTCTTCCAATTTTGAAGTAACATCTTCCTTCCGGACAATCACTTGCTTTATCGAAGGACGGTCCGTTTCTTTGACTCTTTGAGATCTATATGCATCGATGCTTCAGGAAGTAAGTTATACTCTATTAAAAATCCAGCAACACACTAAGCACTATGCTTTATTGAACATATCAGCAGAGTCTGATATTACAAAGTATCAGCAGAACACTTCACTAGAATGGAAAATGCCACTGGGTAAAGAAGGTGACCAAAGCTATTTCAAAGTTTTATGAAGATTAACATTAATAACATTATAATTATAAATAACAAAACTTCTTATTTTAACCTAAACCATGACCCTTAATGACTGAATGTCTTCCAAGATATTCTCACCTATAAGGAAGATCATGGTCTTCCGAACCAATGCTATCACCAGACTCGGCTCGAGGGACACGGGTTCTTTGGAATTTTCCAGGCTTTGGACTTTCATCACTGATGCTCGTGTCTTTCACTTCCCATCTAGGTGAAGACACTAAATTCTGCAGGAAGGCACATCAGATATTAGATTTTATGGATGACATTGATTCTAAATGAGAAATCTGAGGAATTGAATGCCTTCCCTACTACTAGAAAATATCCAAAAAGTTGACCAATTCATCATAAAAACAAGACAAACTACATCCCTAAAAAGTATATGAATAAAGACAGCTGAAGCCTACACTTGTAACTCTTTTTTTAAAAAAATATTTCTAATCGAACCAATTTCCAAAAAAGCTCAGTTATTCAGTTCAGAGTGATAGCTAATAAATGTTAGTTATCTGTCTTGTGCTAAATACTTATGTTCTAATATGATTTAATATGCACTTCAACTCCACGATGGAGGTACTGTTTTTAACCTAATTTAACATTTAATAGCGGCAAAAAGATTAAATAACTTGACCAGTAAACACCAGTACATGGCAGAGCCAGGATGTGAGCCCAAGTATTTGGCTTTTTAAGCCATGTTTCAGTTTGGATTTCATCTGATGCCAACAGGAAACCAATGAAGAGTTTTAAGCTCTCTTCTAAGGAGAATTAACATCAGGTTTGCAAAATATTCCTGGCTATAGCATGCCAAATCCCCCGGAACCAACTAAAACAAAAAGAGATCCTAATTCTACTTAGTTTCTTTATGTCCTAGGTCTATTTACATTTAGTCCTGTCTTACCTCTGGACTTACCACACCAACTGTTTGTGCTAATGGAGCAAGCAAAGACATGGAGGAAATATTCAGTGCATCTTCCTGTTCTTCGCTGCTTTCTGCATCTGCTTGATCCATCTCCTCTCGGTTCTTTCCCACATCTAGTTCACCTTCCTCGAGGACATCACTGAAGATGTCATTAATTACTTTTGAACTATTGATATCATCATCATCATCCACGCTCATCTCAATTTCACGTACCACTTCTGAAAAATATTTCAATAGGTGATTACTGTGATTCAGACCTTTAAGAATTAAAGGAATGACAGAGAAGACTTAATATTCATATGCTCACTCAATAAATAGGAAAAAGAAAAAAGCCCTAAGAAAATGTACCTCCTACAGAAACAAAACAAAAAGAATACTACTATAATGTTCCAATAACATTTTCTAAGTAATGAAGGTAGGAACGATCAAAAGCTGATACAGTGCTTTAGGTTTAAGAATATTAAGGACTCAAACTGCAAGATAATAGCCAAAAGCTTCAGATTTACAAAAAATACCCTTTCAAATAATTCTCTTTCTCTTGCTGAGAACTGTCTTTTCACACTATAGTCAATAACAGGACAATAATAACATCACAAATAAGGGCAGGGTTCACAAATAAACTTCAAGGGCACTGACTTCTTCCAACTGTACATGAGAGTGTGGAAGGCTAGCACATTTCCTTTCCCTGGGAAAGGAAGTGACAGCCTTAATCACATTTTCACAGGGCATGGGACCTAAAAATAACTGTTAACAGTACCGTATTTTGCAAAAGCAAGAATATTTCCTATTTTTTTTTAAAAGGGGTATTATAAAATCACAAGACATTTTGAAATAGAGAACTCTACATATTTGAATATGAGAATACTAATTCTCCTAGCACATCCAGAGTTAATAAGAAACAAAGAATGAAAACCAACCAGTCTGTTGTTCAACCTTTGGGTCTGATGTCACTTTTAAGGATTTGTCCTCTTCTAAAAACAGTGTTATCTTCAAAGGGCTAGACTTTGTCATTTCACATTCAGTAAAATCTAAAAAAAAAAAAAAACAGGAAAAGCAATTTGAATATATATAAAAACTTAGAATTGTTCAGTAAAAGCCTCTTAATGCAATTTCTATCAAAATCCCAAAAGCACTTTTTGGAGAAATAGAAAGTCTGTCCTAAAATTCGTATGGAACTTCAAGAACCTCTGAACATCTAAAACAATTTGAAAGAGAATAAAGTTAAAAGACTGACATTTCCTCATTTCAAAATATATTATAAAACTATAATAATCAATACAGTATGGTACCAATATAAAGACAGACATATAGACAAATGGAAAAGAATAGAGAGCCCCAAAATAAAACTCCAAATATATGGTCAAAGCTGCCATGATAATTCAATGGAGAAAGGACAAATGTTAGAAAAACTGGATAGCTACATGCAAGGTATTAAGTTAGACTTTTATCTGACACCACTTACAAAAGTCAACTCAAAACAGATTAAAGACCTAATAAGACTCAAAACTACAAAACTCCCAGAAGAAAACAGAGAGAAAGCTTTATGACACTGGATTTGGTGATTTCCTGTGTATAATACAAAAAGCACAGACAACAAAAGCAAAAATAGACAAATGGGACTATACCAAACTGAAAAACTTATGTGGCAAGCAGGGCACAGTTGGGGTAGGGATAAAGAGATACAAACAACTATGTATTAAATAAGTTACAAGGCTATATTGTCCAACATATGGAACAATATTTTATAATAACTCAAATGGAGTATAATCTATAAAAATGTTTAATCATTGTACATCTGAAACTAAGATAATATTGTAAATCAACTATGCATCAATTAAAAGAATGTTTATATATCAAAGAACACAGTCAACACAGTGAAAAAACAACCTACTGAATGCAAGAAAACATCTGCAAATCATATATCTAAGAAGTTAGTATTAAGAATATAAAAAGAACTCCTACAACTCAATAACAAAAAAATCAACCTGATTAAAAAAATGGGCAAAGGATATGAACAGACATTTCTCCAAAGATGATATACTAATGGCTAACAAGCATGTGAGAAGATGCTCAACATCACCAATCATAGGAGAAATGTAAATCAAAATCACAATGAGCTAACAACTCATACCTATTAGGATGGCTACTATCAAGAACACAAAAAAAAAATCAAGTGTTGAGGAGAGTGAGGAGAAATTGGAACCCTCATGCACTGCTGATGACACTGTGTGACCAGTATGTAATAATGTAACCAATATGGAAACCAGTGTAATAGTTCCTCAAAAATATTAAAAATAGAACTACTATATGATCAAGCAATTCTACTTTTGGGTATATAGCCAAAAGAACTGAAAGCAGGGTCTCAAAGAGATATTTTCACACCCATATTCATAACACCACTACCTACAATAGCTAAGAAGTAGAAACAACCCACATGTCCATCAATGGATAAGAGATAAACAAAATATGGTGTATATATATGCAAGAAAATATTATTCAGCCTTAAAAAGGAAAGTAATCAAGTCACACACTTGACATGTGACATGTCAACATGGATGAACCCTGGGACGTTATGTTAAATTAAATATGCCAGTCACAAAAATACAGATACCATATGACTGCATTTATATGAGCTATCTAAGGTAGTCAAATTGACAGAAACAGAAATTAGAATGCTGGTGACCAAGAGCTGAAGAGGGGGAAAGGGGAGTTGTTGTTTAATGGATATAGTTTTAGTTTTGTCTGCTGAAAGTTCCTCAACAATGTGAATATAGTTAATGCTACTGAACTGCACACTTAAAAACTGTTAAGATGGTGAATTTCAGTAATATGTTTTTCACCACAATTTCAAAAAAAATTGTCTATGTTATATTAAATGTCACTACCTACAAAGTACCTTTAAACAGCTACATAATACTCAATTACATGGATTTAGCACACTTTATTTAGTCTTCTACTGATGAGCATTTAAGTTATTTAAATCTTACCATTACAAATGATGCAATGATTAATAAATTTGTACATACATCCATTGAATACTAGTTCTAAGAATTCAACTTAGAGAAACACTTGCAAAGAAGTTGAATCAAGGCATATACACACTTCACAATTCAATGGATATTACTGAGTTTTTCTCCAAAAAATAGTTATAGTAAATTTATACTCTCACTAAGAGTATGAGTTCTCACTCTGGAAAGAGAACTAAGAAAGAAGCATATAGCATGGCTAGAAACAAAAAAATTAATTTGTCTTTTTACACTAGAACAGCATTTCTGCTGTTTCCAAAATTATGGTAGACTGAAATAGACATTTTAATTGAAATAGAAATAGAAAATGCTTACCTGAAGGTTCTCTATTAGAAGGGTTTGCTGGTGTCTGATTTTCTGTCACTTTTTCTCTTACTATAAGCGATGGGGTACTTGGACCAACTTGTTTTTTGAGGGGGGTGCTCTGACAGTGAATTTCCTGCAAAAAGCAAATGAAGATGTAAATGTTATTTCTCAAAACTATAAATCTTGTCTTTTTACATGTTATTAAATGAAACAAATAAGAGTCATTGTTAGAAATAAACTTCCTCAGAACGAAACAGAAAATGAATGTTGAAAGGGTCCACCCATGTTTAGAACACTAGTTCACATTCCTGATAATTCACAGTACATAAAATCTTTTTTAGAAACCACTAGGCAAGAAAGAATGAAAATTCACATCAGAGTTCAGCTTTAGATAAACCAATTCAAGTGAAAGGCAAATAAGAGGAAAAAATAATTAAGTCTCCTCAAAAAGAAGAAAACAAACACAAGCTAAAACTATACGCCACTTCCACATCCCTTTCCAGCCACCATATCTTGCTCCCTCCCCTTTAGAGCCAAACTTCTGGGGCTGCCTACACTAATGGACTCTACTCTTCACCCACTACCTGCCTCCTACCCTCACCACCTCACCAAAAGGTTCTGCCAGGTCACAACAAGCTCCTTACTGTGATCTCGGTTCAGTCCACATTTACAACAAACATGTGACAATACTGACCACTCCTTCCTTCTGAAAGGCTCCTTCTTCCCTTGACTTTAGATACATCACACTCAACGGCTTTTTCCTCCCATCACTTAGGCTGCTTTTTCTATGGGTACCACAGATGAATTCTGAAGTGGGAAGACCCTTGAACTCTCTCAATACTGTGTTCTGAATTTTCTTTATATGCATATGTACAAATGTCTAGGGAAGGATTCAACAGGTTTATCAGGAATCATTTAACACAAAAACTTTAAAGAACTGTTGCTCTATATTTCTAGAGAAAGAGAAGGAAAACCATGAGACTGTAACATACTGGCAACCAAGTGAAGAAGGTGCTTCAGACAAAAGGGAGTGATTCATAAAGTCAACTGCTGCTAACAAGTCAAGTTAAACACTAGGAAAGTGATTACTGAAGATCAATGGTGAAATTGATAAAGGTAGTGACGAGAGCATAAGTGGAGAGATCAAGAGAGGAGGCAGAGAAAAACTGGAAGATCCAAGTAGAGACACTCCTTTGGAAGAGCCTGGATGAAAAGGAGGCAAAGGAAGGGAGGGGAATAGGAGATTAAAAGGGTGGCTTTTGTTATGATCATGGCATCTGGTCCCATCACTTCATGGCAAATAAATGCAGAAAAAATGGAAATAGTGGCAGATTTTATTTCCGTGGGCTCTAAAACCCCTGTGGACAGTGACTGCAGCCATGAAATTAAAAGACGTTTGCTCCTTGGAAGAAAAACTATGACAAGCCTAGACAGCATATTAAAAAGCAGAGACATTACTTTGCTGACAAAGGTCTGTCCAGTCAAAGCTATGGTTTTTCCAGCTTGCTCCTTGAAGAAAAACTATGACAAACCTAGACAGCATATTAAAAAGCAGAGACATCTCTTTGCCAACAAAGGTCCATATAGTCAAAGCTATGGTTTTTCCAGTAGTCATGTACAGGTGTGAGAGCTGGATGATAAAGAAGGCTGAGCACCGAAGAACCAACGCTTTCGAACTGTGGTGCTGTAGAAGACTCTCGAGAGTCCCTTGGAGAGCAAGGAGATCAAACCAGTCAATACTAAAGGAAATCAACTCTAAATATTCTTTAGAAGGACTGATGCTGAAGCTCCAATACTATGGCCACCTGATGCAAAGAACTGATTCATTGGAAAAGACCCCGATGCTGGGAAAGACTGAGCACAGGAGAAGGGGACGGCAGAGGATGAGATGACTGGATGACATCACCAACTCAATGGATGACCAAACAGCAAATGCTAGTGAGAAGGATGAGCCCATTCATTTCTTCCTCCTAAAGGAAATCAGTCCCACATATCCACTGGAAGGACTGATGCTGAAGCTGAAATTTTGGCCACCCGATGAGAAGAACTGACTCATTTGAAAAGACCCCGATGCTGGGAAAGATTGAAGGCAGGAAGAGAAGGGGACAACAGAGGATGAGATGGTTGGATGGCATCACTGACTCAATAGACATGAGTCTGAGTAGGCTCCAGGAGTTGTTGATGAACAGGGAAGACTTGCGTGCTGCAGTCCATGGGGTTGCAAAGAGTCAGGCATGACTGAGCGACTACACTGAACTGAATTTCTTCCAAAGACAAATTTTCTGAGTTCCTACTATGCGCCAAGTCCTAAGGACATAGATAGAAAAGAATGTGGCTCTCATACAGTGCTGGAAAGCAGAGTTTTTAAAACACTTACAGGAAAATAAATATTCTAGTGAACAGGATGACATGGACCCAAACAAGGAGGGAGGGGAACTGGGAAAAGGACCAAGTAAAAATTTCCAAAGGTAATTAAAGTCTGACCTATTCTTAATGAAGCAGTTCATCACAGAGATACTTCACCCAGAGAGACTAGCAAAGCGAAGACAGAGATCTGAAAACACGGGAACATTCAAGAAACTGCAAACAGTCTGCATGACAGGACTGAAGCACACATGCAGAGGAGCAGTGAAGAGAAGTCAGATTTCTGAATGACTCTAGATACCACGTCAGGCACTTTAGACATTTTTCTGATGATGACTATGGGAAGCTCTCCAGGATTTTAAGCAAAGGAATACATGCTTATCTGCCTCTTAGAAATATTTTTCTGGCAGCAGTGGGTTAGCAGTGGACTGGAGAGTAGCCAGATTAAAAGCAAGGTGCTCATGCAAGGGTATAGTAATGAATAAGGCAATGGCAGAGGAAAATATAGAGGACAAGGCAGCCTGGCAACATATTTAGAAAATATACCACTGGATGTGTGTGTATTTATGCATAATATGTGCTAGAGGCCAGTGGGAAGAAAGACACTAACAAAAGGAAGGAGCCAAGGAAGAACTACCAGATTGTTTTAGATGAGGAAGTATACAGCAAAGCCGTAAGTGAAGACAAAGACTACATGGGGAAGATACTCCAGCAAAGAGAGCTCTTCCAGTCAACCAAAGCTCGACTAGAGCTCAGGAGAGAGGTGAGGGCAGCACAGCCAAGCATTATCAGCATTTCTGTGATTGGCTGAAGCTAGATATGAGGATGGGAAAGAGATGTTCCAGGACAAGTGAGACAAAAAAAAAAAAAAGATCGAGATAAGAACCTTGGGAAGCATGATTTGTTAAGCAAGGGAACTGGTAAAAAATAAAATCAAATAGATCCTTCTCAAAGAATATTGTTAAATGTATTATTCTATTTCTACTGGTACCCATGTTAAATGTAACTCTATTATTTTTAGCTTAAAAATGTAACCTAACACAGGGAAATTAAGATGTACAAACTTCCAGTTACAAAATAAATGAGCCACAGGGATGAAATGTATAGCACGGGGAATACAGTCAATAATAATGTAATATCTTTGTATGGTGACAAAGAGTAACTAGACTTATCATAATGACCATTTTGTAATCTATAGAAATAACGAATCACTATATTGTGTGGGAACTAGCATAGTGCTGTAAGTCAATTATACTTCAGAAACCAAACAAATTCATAGAAAAAAAAAAATCAGCTTTGTGGTTACCAGAGGAGGTGGGAGGGAGATGTGGAATTAGATGAAGGTGGTCAAAAGGTACAAACTTCCCGTTATAAGACAAATGAGTACTAGAGATATAATGTACAACATGATTAACATAATTAACACTACTAAATTAAATATGAAAGAGTAAATCCTAAGAGTTCATATCACAAGGAAAATATGTTTTTTTCTCCTTTAATTTTATATCTATGAGATGACAGAGATTCACTAAATTTATTATGATCATCATTTCATAACGTAAGTCATGATGCTGACTACCTTAAACTTACACAGTGCTGTATGTCAATCATATTTTAATAAAATTATAACTAATATATATACATATATAGATTTCCTAACATAGTATTTTTGTACACAATAGGCATGTAGATGAAATAGAAGAGAGTTTAACACGGTAAGAATTTTGTTGAAGGCTTATCAATGAAATTATACTATGAGAAGTGGTATGGGTAAGAGGCGTCCCAAGTGGCACTGATGGTAAAGAACCTGCCTTTCAATGCAGGAGACATGTGAAACGTGGGTTCAAACCCTGGGTCAGGAAGAAGCCCTGGAAGAGGGCATGGCAACCCACTCCAGTATTCTTGCCTGGAGAATCCCATGGACAGAGGAGCCTGGTGGGCTACGGTCCACGGGCTCACAGAGTCAGATACGACTGAAGCGACTTAGCACATAGAACAATACGAGCAAAAAGATATCTGGGAGGCATTTGCTGACTAAAAGGTCACCAAATAAATGTATAAATGTATGTATAAATGTATACATAGTATGAATGTATGATAATTTGAGGAGAGATATATAATCATTAATGATAAAAGTAGATTCTGAGAAACATTTGAAAATCAACATCTAAATAGAATGTTAAAAGGAATCTGAAATCAGTTGAATGACGAGAATACTTTTTAAATTCGATTTTAAGTAGGTCATCATAAACGTGGTTAGCTGCTGCTGCTGCTGCTAAGTCGCTTCAGGCATGTCCGACTCTGTGCGACCCCACAGACGGCAGCCCACCAGGCTCCCCCATCCCTGGGATTCTCCAAGCAAGAAGACTGGAGTGGGCTGCCATTTCCTCCTCCAGAGCATGAAAGTGAAAAGTGAAACTGAAGTCACTCAGTCGTGTCCGATTCTTCGCGACGCCATGGACTGCAGCCTACCAGGCTCCTCCGCCCATGGGACTTTCCAGGCAAAGAGTACTGGAGTGGGTTGCCATTGCCTTCTCCAAAACATGGTTAGAAGTTCCATTAAATGGCAAAATATCACAGGAGAAAAGCCGAGTTGGTATGAACATTTAAAGAGTTTATGAATGGAAAGTGGCATAGTTAATCAGAATAAGAAAGTGTATAGAGAATTATTTTACAATACAGAACTACAAGTTAAATCCCAGTTCTTGTTTATGTTACCTGTTTGGTTTCTAGTTGTTTGTTCTTTGAGTTTTCGCCTTTTTCTGCACTCCATAAATTGCCCTTGTCAAATCGGCTACGAAGACATGCTAGTTCTTTTTGACGTTCCTAAAACCATCAAAATCTCTATTTTATACAAGAGCCAAGTATGTTTAATATCCAAATACTACTAACTTTGCTTCTCTTCATTTTTAAGGTTAAAAAATTCATAATACACATGGAATATAAGACAACAACACTTTTAATTTGAAATAAGTGATACAGAGAATCAAGATGCTACTTATCTCAGTCAAAAAGACTAGCATCAGAATTTGACGCCTAGGTCCTATGCTGAGGCTATGTAATGAATGTTAAACGCAGTAAGATATACCTGCTTGAGTTGCTGTGCTAGATGAGTAGTAGATGAAGACGCGTTTTGCCTGAGTAATCTTTCTTGTATGGCCTTTGTATTCGGAGTGATAATGGGAGTCCTATGGGGTGTGCTACGAGCTGGACTTTCTTTGCTATGTTCTTGACAACGCTCTCCAAAGCGTTCCAGAAAAGGCTTAATTCCTGATCCTCCTAAGGAAAATACACACATTTTAGAGGCTACTTAGAATAAATAACAGTTATGATTTCTATGGGAAATGTTCTAAAATCCAGTTCAGCTCCAAAATGCTTTGATTCTACTAAGAATATTCATTCAGAAGGAAAACAGTAGAAAAATAGTTCAAAAAACTTAAAAATACTTTTTTAACCATACTATTTAGTTTTATATCCTAAAATTTATTTTATAGGATTTAATACTTTAAAAAAACACAAAAAAATTTTTTAAAGGTTCAGTGAGAGGACAGAAGGGATTAGAAAATGCTTAAACTACTTAATCAGAACCTAAATAATTGGAAATTGACTGTATGTGCACTAATGATATGCCCTAAACACCAAGTATCCTGGCCATGATAACCCAACTACTAATATCTCTACAGCCCAATTCATTTATTTATTTATTTATTTTGCTTTTAGGAAGTATAACATGAAAATTCAGTGATTAAATCCTTGTTCTTTTTAAAAAATGATAATTAAGGATAATTCAGTTTATTAAAGTATGTCTTGATTTTACCAAGTCTTAGTATTTATTTTAAATAGTGTGAAATACATTTAAAATACAAATGTACTATATATCACTTCCATTATAACAATGCTAGGGTTGTACTACATAAAAGGACCTGTTAAACATTTTCCCATAAGCAGCCAGAGAATAAATATTTTGGGCTCTGCAGGCCATATGGCCATTGTCACAACTACTCAATCCTGCATTGAAGCATGAAAGCAGCCACAGACAGTAAATGGGTGTGGCTGTGTTCCAATAAAACTTTATTTGCAAAAGCAAGTGAAGGGCAGAATTTGACCCATGATAGCAGTGAAAGCAACAAGTCCTAACCAATGCATCAGCAGAGACTTCCCAATAATACTTCTTATTTATGTCATTCTTATCTATGCTGTAAGTCTTTAGAATATTGGGAGTCATAGTCCAATTTCACATGGGGATTTTGCTATTGTTTCTCATTTTGGCTCATCTGGAAACTGACTGCTGGATTCTATTTATCCTGTAACTAATGGATTCCCCACTATCATCTTGGTATACTTCTCTTTCATGATGAACTATTGTTTCTGGAGATACTGTATTTTTAAGAAGTTAAAATTCAGAATTAATACAAAGAGCAGTTCTAATGAAAAAGAATATAGCTCAAAGTAAACTATATTACCATATATCTGAGCCACAATTTTTAGTCCCGTGTTTCTCAACCAGGTGGGGGTATACCAGAAGTATAAGTCACTGGAAGACAAATATGAACTTCCTGGAGCATCCATTTACTATAGGAAAACTGAATTTTCCTATGTATATATTCATGTACATTACACACACATATAAATTTAATGAGAGTGGAGTCATTTATATACATATTCTCTTCCCTTTGCTACTAGGGATGTGTCATAGTGCAGCTTGAGATGCACTGCTCTGTACACTTGGTTATAAGAATGTTTCTGCATTATATCCTTAAAATATGATTTTTAGGTACAGAAGAAAGTATCTAGCATGGTCATTCTAGGAAAAAAAAAAAAACATGCTTAAACTGTTAAAATGTAACAAGTTAAACTATTTGACCAGTAACTGGGCTAATCTACAATAATGAATATTCATTTGCTCAATTAAAGTTGACTTTGAAGAAATCTCACTTGATGCATTCATGCATTTGCCCTGGCAAACCAACACTGTAACATTCACAACTAGATGTTTAAAATGCTAAGAACTGACACCATGAAAATAGTCAGCAGTACTTTAAATTTTTTTAAAATATGTAACCTGGTGTTGCAGATTTGTCCTTAGGCTGAGACTGCAGATGAATTTCTCTGTTTAATTCTTCCTTGGGTGGAACTGTACGGGATACAGCTGACTTCTCAACTGGTTTTGATACTTCTGTTTTCAGAGGACTAACCAAGGTTTTTTGAAGTAGTTCAGGATTTTGTACCTTACAATTTTTAGCACTGGTGATGGATGTTGTAGAAGATTTCACTGGGGAAGAAGTAGCTTTCTGAAACATGATAATACTTAGGGTAAATAACAACACTCACAATAGTTAAAGATATTTCTACAACAAAAAAATTCAAATCCTATATGCTTGATAGTCTTTTTGTAAACTCATGAAAAAAATTTCTTGCTCTCTAATAGACCAAATTAATTTGAAAGGTTTGAAAAAAATTAACTTAGAAAATGTGATTATTCAAATTATGTAGTTTAGTGTACATAATATTCTGATGAGTAATTTAGTACAAGGGAGAGGGTCACTATTTTGAAAAACAATTTCTTTTCTATTATCACACTAGTACCCTTATGAATGTTAACTATATTAGGTCAAATACATATATATTTGTATTTTAATTAAATCATGTATCATGTACTTAAAGGTGAATTATAAGTACTACTTACTATGTGCCAAGTACCATACTAAGTGCTTTATGAACAATATCTCATTTAATCCTCCCATAACCTTTTCTTTCCCATTTTACAAATGGAAAAATACTTTTGCAAGATTAAGTAACTTCTCCAAAGTCACACTTCTAATTATGTGGCAGGGCTGGGATTGAATGCAGGTCTAATTCCAAAACCTAGCTCTACACTTAAAGATAACACTCAGAAACACAATTTTTTTTTTCATTTTTGTTTTCTTCGTATTATTTTTAAAAACCATTGAGATAACACATAGGCAGGGTAATCTTCCAAATACTTCAAAAGGATATCAGTGAAAGCATCATACCCACCCTTGACAACTGCCTTTTGGAGGTAACTACAGCTACTAGCTTTCAGAGATATTTGATGTCTTTCTTGTATTTATACACATACATAAAGCATTTTAATAGAGAAAGTAATTTTCAGGCTCTCGTGATGAGTAAGAAGAGGCTCCATCATTCAAAAGTACATACTTTGGAAGTACATTAAATTTGAGTAATTTAGTTGTTAATTGATAACTTAATTTGGGTCAGAATATCAAATTTATTATTTTTACTTTCTATGAAATACTCTAAAAATACATAAACATCCTATATATATGTTATAAAATACATATCTACAGACATATATATACATAATATAAATTATTACTCATAACAACAAACAAAAATGTTTCCAAATACCAAAATTATATTTACTTACCCCAGGGCTAGAAGTTGCAACGTTAATCAAAGATGCACCCACAGCACTCGAGGATGAGGCTTTATTCAAAGAGGCATCACCATCCCTTTGGGAACAGCATGTAGCTTCCTGCTTAACACTGCTGCTATTGATCCTAGCAGATGCTCCACTTGCAGAGGAAAATTTGGATAAACAAGTGGTACCAGGCTGTTCTTGCACACTGTTTTGCTTTGCAGATGAGGTTTTTACATCATCTTCCCAGGAGCAAATAGTTGCAGCAAGGTTGGCCAGTCGGCCCCTTCTCCCAACTGGAGTTGCTGAGGCATCTGAAAGGGATGGTTTGGGAGGGGAGGCAGCCTTTTCCTTTGATGGCATTGCTGAGATGGGTGAGTTTTCAGGTATATCATCTGAAAATTTTTTGAAAGTTAAAGTCCATGAGCTATATGTGTATGTAATAAAGGGATCACTCCAAACAACAACAAAAAGCTTTTCTAATACACATGAAACTACCAAACTGCTTAAATTTGACAATATATTTTCAAATCAGATACTTAACTCAAATTAAAAAAGAAATACTTTGTTACTTAGTTTTTCAGTTATTTGATAGATTATGAAATCTATAAAACACCATACATTTAGGTTACATTTTTAGGATTAATTAATGATGTCATAACACTGCACAAATTAAGATTACATATTCAACATACTTGTTTTTAGAATGTACTAGGCTAGTGCTATACAATAGAACTTTCTGCAATGATGGAGATGTTCTATATCCATGCCATCTAATACAGTAACAACTAGCCACTGTGGCTAGTGAGCACTTGAACTGTGATAAGAACAATAAGAAACTTTATTTCATTTTAATTAATTTAAATTTAAAACCGACATATGACTCTTGCTTATGGTATTGAATAGCATATCCAATACCATATTGGATATTGGATATCATACCATATCCAATAACAATAGCACAATATCATATCCAATACCAATACCATACCAATAGCAATACATACAATACCAATAGCACAGGGTTAGACTAATATGTTTTTATGCACAGTTACTTCATTTGGAAATAAATCTCAAATAAGCAATACTTAGAGAAGGCAATGGCAACCCACTCCAGTACTCTTGCCTGGAAAATCCCATGGATGGAGGAGCCTAGGGGGCTGCAGTCCATGGGGTCACTAAGAGTCAGACATGACTGAGCGACTTCACTTTTACTTTTCACTTTCCTGCATGGAGGAGGAAATGGCAACCCACTCCAGTGTTCTTGCCTGGAGAATCCCAGGGACGGGGGAGCCTGATGGGTTGCCATCTATGGGGTCGCACAGAGTCGGACACGACTGAAGCGACTTAGCAGCAGCAGCAGCAGCAGCAAGCAATACTTAACCATGAAAGGTATGTATGCATAAAGAGCATATACGGCAAAGTTCATGGCACTTCCTATTCCACAAATTACGTCAACAGAACAGATATCCCTCCTACTGTCCAAGGCTTATACATCTGCCTGAATTCTCAATTCTACTCCCCTTAAACCTTCTCAGGGATCTTGCTCCAAATAACCACTTCTTCCTCTCTACAAACTTTGTTTTCTACACATTAATATGCTCAATTCTCTCTCATCTTAGAGCTAAAAACCAATCATCCACTCATCAACATACACCCGCTTTTAGCTACTGTCCCTTTTTCCCTGTACTAAATTCACTCACCACTCAACTCACTTCGATCTGACTTCCACATACACAGCTGCACTCAAGTTGCCTTTGGTATTTTCACCAATGCCTATACATTTGGAGTCCTTGTATTTCCATATGTGACATCACCCCCTACTAGTTCTGTCTCTGCAGCCTAACCTTCATGGTCTCCTTCTAACTACCAACTACCTCCATCTGACTATCCCACATGCACCTCAAATAATATGTCTGATGTTGAAACTGCTTCAAACACATTCCTCCTTATCATGCCTCTTCATCCCTTTTCCCTTCCATCCACCACCTGGTCATTAGGTCCCACAGATTCTTTCTCCTAAATCTCTCAAATGCAGCCTCTTTACTTTCATGGGCCTTCATCATTATGCCTGAATCATAATATTAATGTTTTAACTGATCTTCCTGCTTCAAATCTCTACCCTCTTCAATCTCTCCTAATTCAGACGCCAGAGTGATCTTTCTAAAGCATTTGCCTACCTAAATTCTCAGTACCTCCCCATCATCTTCTGATTAAATTCCAAATGCTATGGACCCTGCTGCTTTCTTTGAATTTATCTCTTGCTTTTATACCATAGGAATTGTATACCAGAATGCCTACTCTTTATACACATACTGTGTTTATGATCTCTGTGCTTTTTATTAATATATATGTTCTGTGGCTTCTGCCTAGAATATCGCTACTGCCTGAAGCCAGCTGCCCTTCAAAGTCCAGGTTAACTGCCTCTGTCTCCTCCAGAAAAGCTTCCCTGACCACCATCTTCCCTACAATACTTTTTTGCATACCTTTATCATTTTCCTTAGAATACGCACTGTCTTCTAAACAGATGACAGTTTCACTGTCATCCTTTAGAAATGGACTTAATAGACCCCTCACTCTTCTATTCTCCATCAGAAAGAAAGGCTTCAGATAAATTATACTTTATTATTCCTCAAACCTTTAACTGGCACATGGCCACAGTCTTGAATAGCACTCACTAAATCATTCCTCACAAACACTTTATTTATAAGTTTCAATGGTTAAAATTAGACAAGCTATGATGCCTTAAGGAGATTTATTTTCAAGACTGAGGTAGGCATTTGTTAATGTTTGCTTTCAAAATATTCAAGATCACAGAGGCGACAGTTTCTCCTAAGAATGCTTAGGGCCTTGATTGTTCTGATCAAGTATTAGATCACAACTCTTTTTCTTTTTTTCTGAAAGGAAAATCTGCACTCTGCTGCCTATAGATATTTCCTACAAAATAGAATGGGACATCTTTCTATTCGGGCACATTAACTGGTTTCCTCAGACATACTAAAAGCAGCATGGTTAGCCCCATCCACTACTAAAATCAACAGGTGTAACTGACAGCGTAGAATATCAGCACCCCCATTACACACCCATAAACATCGGACAGGACATAAAAGTTGAGCCCTAAAGTCAAACTCCTAGGGTTTGCATTTTAGCACTGACTGTGGGCAGGTGTCTTAGCCTCTTTGAACTCAGTCTCCTCTCCTATAATATTTGAAAGCCAAAGCTTCCTTGGATAAGGCTTAGTCACCATGGACTGTCCACTTACACTGGGCTGGCTCACTTCGGCACTGCTTCTACTGAACTGAGCCAGAAGCCAGCTGTCTGCCTACCCTGAGAAAACTTACACCTTCGCTAGCTCCTACAAAAATATCTTTAGGGCCCACAGAGGAACGTTCTCTCAGGTCTTAGCGCCAACCATGACTCTGTTTCTTTCATTTTATAAACACTATCATGTAACTAACAGTGTTTCATCTCTCTGCATCAGCTGCCAGTGAGTTCAGAACCATCTCTAGGAAGTGAGGAGGACCTTAAGGCCTATATCTAGTAAACTAACTTTACCCTTCACTTTGTTTTTCCTTCTCTTCACATTGATTTTTCTCATTTTTCCAATTTTTAACATAGGTATTTTTGTAAGTCACCCCAAGGCGTTTTTCGTAACAAGGTAGGAGATAAGCTCTCCATCAGATTACAGGCCCATGAAATGCAAAAGTCAGGTTTGCGTTTCCTCCCCCATGGGTCGGGAAGATCCCTTGGAGGAGGGAATGGCAACCCACTTCAGTATTCTTGCCAGAAAGATCCCATGAACAGAGGAGGCTGGTGGGCTACAGTCCATGGGGTCGCAAAGAGTCAGACACTACTGAACATGCACACTCATTTTTGTAAGTCATCCCAAGGCGTTTTCGTAATAAGCTAAGAGATAAGCTCTCCATCAGATTACGGGCCCATGAAATACAAGATCAGGTCACTTTATCTGTCTCCAGCACCTTAGCATGATTACATGCTTTGCAGGTGTTTGATAAATATTTTTTGAAATTTTCTTTTTCCCCTATGAACAGCATTGCATACCTTAGTCACTCAGGTTTATTCAGTGAATCCATGAAACAGGATTTCTTGAATATAGAACTGAAGGTCAGCAAGGTTGATAATGCCAAGAGTACAGTTTATCCTTTAGTGTTTTCATTGCAAATATAAGATAGTTCCTTTATAAGATCAAGGTTTTGTGAACCAGTCTAAGAACCTCATCATCGTTTACTTCAACGAGAACACACCCAATAAATATATAATGATACATAAACCATTAGCAAGCAATGGATACTAAGGACATAGATCAAAAGCATTTACCTTTCATGTGTTAACTGATACATGAAATTTTTAACCTATCAAGTTGAATTGCACTTAAACAGATTTAAGGACCACACAGTCCACAAGAGTGCATACCTGTCACATCATCACTATCCCAACAGCGCCGCTGCTCAGCCAGCTTTTGCATCCGTGTTCTGACTGAGGAGGCTGCAGCTGCTCCCAGTCTTGAGTTCGGCCCGCTCCTCACACCCAGCTGTGGTGCTGAGGCTGGGGCAGCCAAGGAGTCACTGACACCAGCGGGTGTCTGAGGCATCTGTGGCTGAGCCTGAGGGGACACAGGCCTCGGAGAACAAGGTTTTGCAGACGTTGACTCCACTGGCTTTTCATTTTCCAAGTCAGAAACTTCTACTTCAGTGTTGTCAGAACAGCGTTTTTTGGATGGTGATGGTTTTGTGCAAGATTTCTCTAGGTTAAATAGGACAAAAAATTAAAAGTTCTGTAATTTTGCACGGCATGAAAAAACTTTAATGGTAGGTACAAAAGAATAAAACACTATTCTCTCTGTTCCTTTAAATGATTTCATTCACAAGAAGAAATATGTAAAATTCTACTTTCTTTCAGTAACTTGGAAATCTGATATGAGAGATTTCTGTTTAAGTATGCACATAATTTAACAGTTTAAAAAAACCTTAATGAAAAAAATCTTCAAATAACATCCTCAAGATTTATGTATAATATTCTCTAGGAAATAAAACATATGCACACAGAATAAGCAAAGCAAATGTTCTAAGGGATTTTAAAGATCATACAGTCCAGTTACCACATTTTTAAATAAGAAAAATCAAGTCCAGAGAAATCGAGTTACCTGCTTAACATGAGCTTAACACCTGAGCTAAGGGTAAAAACAACCTTTCTGCTTTTAAAAACAATTTTTCATGAGCAGTAAACAAGAGTAGAAGGGCACCTGGCTTGAGGTTTAGGAGGCAGAGAACCAAAAGACTGACTGAATTATCTGACCAGTACCAAGCAAATTCATCAACACAAGTGTTTAACATTTTACATTTAAAACCTCCATGAACACCTATAAAACAAAAAGTCCTAAAAGAAAAAGGAACTATCCAAACACAAGGAATATAATTTTTACCCAAGAATGAGTTCTACTATACCTCCTATAAAGCTAATCCTTTAAAAGGTAAGAATGTAAATTCCCTTTGAGGTCAGTTTCACTGGCTGTCTAACCAAGCGTTCTTGTTCTGGCAGTAACTGAAGTATCATTAGTGGGAAGTCATGATTGCCCTCATAAATATCAATCTAAGTAAATAATACATCATGAATCTTTCCAGTCTTCTTCAACTCACTTAAGGGTATATTTTAAATGAACTTATCTAATCATTTTTTGGAAGTGTTCCTATTTAACATGCTTCACTACCTGAAAATATAGAATGCTTTAAGTTTACATTTCTTATACAAAACAGTAAATATTTCCATTTAAGCATCAAAATACAGTTCTAACCACTAGTTTTCAAGTACATAGTACTCAATATCTGATTGCATAAAGCTGTGCCACAGTGAAGAGATCCTAGACTAGAGCTAGATCTCTGTTTTCCCATGTAGTATATATGGTATTCCTTCCCTTCAAAACGTATTAACATACAAAGGGAAATTCTCATTCTGTGGTTAGCTTACAAAATAGTAGGGAACCAGCACTATGCCCTCACCTCTTTTGTAATATTGGTTTGGCCCTCTGTAATACTCTTTTTCTATGTGCATTTTAAATGTCTACTAAAGAATATTATCATCTCCAGATTATTCCAAAAGATTAAACCAGCTGACTGATACAAGCTTGAGGATGTCAGGATTTAGGAAAGAATAAGAAACTTTCCAGGTGCATGTGAGTTTGTTGCAGGAGTTGTTGTTTGTTTTAGTTGCTATATTGTGTCCAACTCTTTGTGACCCCATAGACTATAGCCTGACAAGCTCCTCTGTCCATGGGATTCTCCAGGCAAGAATACTAGAGTGGGTTGCCATTTCCTTTTCCAAGGGACATTCCCAACCCAGGGATCGAACCCACGTCTATTGCATTGGCAAAAGGATTCTTTACCACTGAGCCACCAAGGAAGCCCCTCTTGGGGTGCATGGGGGTGTTGGTGGTTAATTTTGTTTCTATTTAATTTCAGTAGTTCTGTAGATTAACAACCTATACTTTGTGCCCAGCCTGAGAGACATGGTTCAGCAGACAGAGGATGAAAAGACTCATGATATTTCAAGTATCTGCAGGCAGGCCTGCCTTTTGTTGCCCTGTTCACGTAGGAGGGGAAGAGAAACTCAACACTATGGCCAGCGTAAGTGCTCCACTGCTCCCGTAGAATTCTTCCCTTAGAGGATTTAACAATATTTTGGAATGAGGAAAATAAAGCTCAACCAGTTAATCTGAAATATTTGTTAGAAATTCTGCTCTGGCTTGATAGGTTCCAGGCCTAATATAACAGGCCTGGAATACAATATAAGGTTGATCTTTCCCCTGGAGGCTATTACATTTGTCTCCCAAAGACCTTGGTCTTCCGCAGGAACAATAAAGTGTTTGGCACTTATTTGCATTTTGAAAACTGCAAGTTTTACTTTTCCCCACAAAGTCTATTACCTTTGCCCCCAGATAGGGGCTGCTGGTTACTTGCTTCCAAAAGCGGCTCCCTGATCCGCTTGGCGTGAGTCAGAGCCCTTGCGGCTGGGATGGGCCGCTCAGCCATTTTCCTCTGAAGATTCTCTCGTCTGGCACGGGTTCGCTCAAGCAGTTTCTACACATACAACACACCAGAGCATTAAAGCATAAGTTTAGTCAAAGGCTCACAAAATTTCAGATAACTTCTCAAATCACTAACTGTCATCAGACATGGATAATAACAGTTAAATACATTTCAAAAGTCAAATTCTCAGTAATCAAGATTCACCAAATGAGCACTGTCATGTCAAAATTTGATTAGATATAATATGACCATTAAAGGGGGAATGAAATGTGTTAAGTTCACTGCATGAGATTTTAAATGGCCACAGATTTTTTTCTGCCTCCCTCAAAAGGTATTTGATCAGGCTGGCTTTATGATTCACTTTGACTGTAAAAACATGGCAGAAGTGATATTGTGTATGTGACTTCCAATCCCAGGGCTCAAAAGGTCTTGCAGTTTCTGTTCTCACTCTCGTGGAACACTGTCTTCCTGTGAAGATGCCCAGGTTAAGCCTGCTAGACACATGGCCCAGCTGACAGCCAGCATCAACCACCAGACCTGGGAGGAAGACCATTTTAGCCCATCCAGTCCCAGAAATTGCTATATGACTGCAGACTTCTGTATGATCCCAGGGGACACCAGAAGTCCAGCTCAGCTGAGCCCCAGTGCTAAGCCACTGAGTCATGGGAAATAGCATGGTGGTTGTTTTAACCACGATGGTAGGCAAAATAACGGTTTCCTAAAGTTGCTCATTATCCTAATCCTGTGAACCTATATGTTACCTTACATGGCAAAAGGGACTTTACTTCTGTGATTAAATTAATGACATTGAAATGCTGCGATTATCTGGATTTTCTGGGTGGGCCCAATGTAATCGCAGGACCTTCTTGGTAGCTCAGCTGGTAAAGAGTCTGCCCGCAAAGCTGGAGACCCCAGGTTGATTCCTAGGTCGGGAAGTTCTCACCTGGAGAAGGGATAGGCTACCCATTCCAGTATTCTTGGGTTTCCCTGGTGGCTCAGATGGTAAAGAATCCGCCTGCAATGCAGGAGACCTGGGTCCGATCCCTGGGTTGGGAAGATCCCCTGGAGGAGGCAAACCTCTCCAGTATTCTTGCCTGGAGAATCCCCATGGACAGAGGAGCCTGGCAGGCTACAGTCCATGGGGTTGCAAAGAGTCAGACACGACTGACTAAGCACAATGTAATCGCAAGTATCCTTACGAGGGAAGAGAAGCCTGGAAGGTCAGAGTCAGAGAAGATGTGACAAGGGAAGCAGAGGTCAGAGTGATGGAATTGGGGGCACTGAGGATGGAGTAAGGGGGCTGCAAGCCAAAAAAAGCAGGGGGCCTCTATCAGCTAAACAAGGCAAGGAAACAGGTGTCCCCAAATCCTCAAAAAGAAACACAATCCTGCTAACACCTTAATGGGAACCCAGCAAAACCCAACAGACTTCTGACCTACCAAAGATAACATGTATGATGTTAAGCTAGCAAATCTGTAATAATTTTTTATAGCAGCAAAACTAATACAGCCACTAAGATTTGGGGTGATGGTAAACAGCAAGAGATAACTGACTTAATAGTCCTTTGAAAACATAAGATCCTTCCTAAGAGAAAAATCAACCTAAATATTTTCATGTTTTATTTAATTAAATATCCATATATAATAAAACAGTTTTAAGTTGAAATCTTAGTATTCCACAGAATCATGAATATGACTCTTTTCAAACCCCAAATCATGCTCCTATCGGAATCAATATAGTATAACAAACACAAAACCCTGTAAAAGAATTCATTCTCTTTGAACACAACCAGAGAAGGCATGCAGATTACTGGCTGGAGTATACACTGCCCTGCAAACACAGATAAAGTAATTATTGCAGACTAAGGAATTTAACTCCACCTGACCTTTTTAACTGCTTAATTAAGACAGAATAATCATTTTTTAAGTCTCTCTGAATATGAAAAACAAGCATGAGCTTATCTTAGGAATGATTTCACATTGAAAGAAGTTAACACTTAATCTAAATACTATGTCGCTGAAAGAGTAATTTATGAGCCAAATGCCTTCCAAAACACAAAGCCTTTATCCTTTAAGGTCTTCAACAAACTCAAAAGTGACAGTATTATGCAAATTCATATATGTCTGATAATTTTCCCCACAATAAAACACATCATTCCCAAAATACAAAACTAGCCTAAATATGTTCATTCATGGACACACCCACATTCCATTCTGGTCAGTTAGAATACTTATGAGTCAGTATATTTTCAGTTACTATGCGCAATGGGTCAAAAGAATGAGGTTTTGCAATTCAAACATACACAAAGTGTTCTATTGTTACAGCAGATTCAAAAATTTCAAGATTAAAACAAATTAAAGTAGATAAGCAAAAAAGTTCCCTAATCTGTAATATAAAACTGATAAATACCAAAGATTATTAATATAAAAGAAGTGATATATCTAAAATGCATAAAGTCAACAGCTAAATAAATGTAAGTTACCCTTCCTTATAATAGTGTATCAGGAATTTAAGTGCTTTTTTTATTTATAAGGTACATTCCTTCAAATATCACACCTCCTCCTTCAAAGAATAAAGGCATTAAAAGAAAATAAAAGAGTGCAGTTACTAACAATCAGGAAATAAGATACTCCACATGAAGGGATCTAAAATAATTGAAGTGTAGAGTCCTTAAGCAATTTCTGCCCCACATCCCTCAAACCATTTCTGACAAAATTTTTTTCTGGGAGATATTACTGATTTCCTACCTTCTTAAACAAAGTAGACTCAATAACAACTTATTATTTTCAAAATGTTCTAGAAGCATTCCTTCCCTGGTCATCATAGAGAGTTCACTTAATTCTGGAAAATTAAAGAAACTCTATCCAAAACAGTGATAGCATGTTTGTCAATTAACATCACAAGAAAATAATGTTTTATATATTTTAATTGTAGCTTTTTCTCTTTTAAAGTTCCTACATGGAAAGTTCTGACTTGACACAACTAGCTGTGGATTTCCTATGCTAACCTGAGGTGGCCATCACCATCAGCAGATCTTCAGACTAAAATGCTAATATTGACATTATGAGCAATAAGTTTATGGCTTTAAATCTACCTAACAACAAGTACAAAAAGAACTTCCCAGATAGTTCAATGGATAAAGAATCTGCCTGCAATGCAGGAGACACAGGAGACCTGGGTTTGATCCCTGAGTCTGCAAGATCCCCTGGAGAAAGAAATCGTAGCCCACTCCAGTATTTCTTGCCTGAAAAACCTCATGGACTGAAGGGCCGGGTGGGCTACAGCCCAAGGGGTCACAAAGAGTCGAATATGGCTGAGTGACTAAGCACAGCAAGAAACAAGTACAACCACCACTAGTGCTTAGACAGGATTTAAAGTACTTTCAGTGTCGGCAGACACTAACTCATTTCATCTTCAAATATGATTTGTTGAAACTCTGTTTTTACTACTGTTTTAGAGATGAAAAAATTCAGGTAGGGGTTCAATAACAAGCCATAGGTCACACAGCTGACAAGTAGCAAGGCAAGATTAAGAACCAGGCTCCAGAGTCTGGACTCTTAACTGCTTTGCTAAAAACTATAGTTGGACTAAATCCAATTATTCTTTTAAAAACTTATCATCAGTAGAACTAACCAAATTCATATGATCAACCTTAACTTTTTAATGCTATTACCTGATCATCATAATAAACATGTGCCTTAAGTGCTAGCTTATCCATAAATCAAGATAGATTCTTTCTTTATCTCTGGTTGGTCCATGAAGAACATCAGGAACACATAGTCCTGTGGATTCTGTCTCAATGCTGATTCAGACTGCAAAATCATGAGACACTTAGGAAAAGCTGGACACCGACAATGTTTGACGATTTTAAGGAACTGCTGTTTATTTTTTAGGTGTGATAATAACATTATGATTTTTTTTAAAAGTCTTTAGTGTTCAGTGATGAATACCTATGTATTTTTGTATAAAATTATATGCCTTCTAGAATTTGCTTCCAAATAATTCAGTGAGGAGGATTAGAGGCAGATACAGCAAAACAATATGGCCATGTGTTGCTGGGCAATGGATGCATTATACTTGAGATTTCCTACAAGAAAAGAATATTGCTAAAATGTTCTAACAGTTACTGCTTGATTTAATTATTTGTCTGTAAAACAGTTTACACTGAATGGTTCTCTTTCACATCAATTCAGCAGACTGTTATTGGATTGTGCTTGAACATCAAGCACAAGATATTCAGAAATATCCCTCTGAATAATCTCCTACCTTCAGGAAGCTTACATTCTAACAGAAAACATGTTCAACAGGTACATATAAATGCAAGTGAGATGTGTATTGTGAAAGGTGATCTCCTCTCTGAAGAAGGGGAATCAAACTGTGAGCTAGAGGTCAAAACAAAGTTTGCCAGGTAGAACAGGCAGGAGGACAGAAAATGAGCCAGACAGCACCAGTGACAACAGGGAGGGGAACCACTGCACAACAGCCTTGTCTGAGGAAACAAGAGTTGAGGATGGTTGTAGCTACAGTCCATGGGGTCGCAAAGTCAGACACGACTGAGCACAGCACAGCTTTTCTCAACAAGTTACCAGGAGAATTAATCCTTAAGGCCCTGGCATTAATGTAATGAATTAACATCTCTCCTATGCCTACAGAATGGCATGGTTAAGAATCACTTTTGAGAGAAAAAAAATCACTTCTGGGAAAACTGAGAAAAATAGTTTCTCTCAAATAATTTTCTATGTTCTATGGTTCTGATAAGGAACTCCAGCTGAGAAAGTCATTTTAACTGACTTTCAATTTCCTTTTCTTTTCAGATGAGGAACAGTTAGCTTCACTGTACAAAAATGTTATGAATGCTATAATTAAGCACCTAATCTTTGGAACCATTTCAAATAGTTCACTCACTCCCAATTAAGGAAAAGATGCCAAAGCTGTTGATTCCAACCGCAACCGGTCTAACTTCTCAAAATATAAAACACACACACTAAACCACATACATTTCTGAACTGCACTCTAAAATGAAAAGTTACTTTTAAATAAAAGTTTCTTTCAACTGAGATTTGTACTAGCTTCAGAATAACATTTTTAAGTAAAATGAAGTGCAATTTTCAGCCAACTTTCAAAATGCTTTGCTCTTGTCAGTTACTTAGAAATATAAAATATTGAGAACAGGAAGGGCTATTATTTTAAGGAATCCTATTTTAAGTTGTAACATAACATATCCTTTTAAATTTCAATGTAAGTGAAAAATATGTGGGGAACCACCAGCTCTATTCCCTAAAGCTAATACAAAAATGTGCTCAGGACTTTTCTGTTAGAATATTTAAGGTTAACAAATTGATGTGTATCCCTGAGATGATTGAGAATTTGGAAACAAATACTGTGTTTGAATACAAGTAAACTCTAACTGCCGAAACTTTTAATATCTTAAACAGAATTGCAACTACATCTCAAAAAAAAGGGGGGGGGGTATTAATATTCTCCACTCAAGCTTTTCAATCTAGTGTAGAGACATTTTTAGGCCCACTTTGCAACAACTCAAAAAGTAACAGTTTGACACTTGCACAACACCGTAAAAAAAAGGAACTGTCCTTGAAGAAAGGGTAGTGGACAATTGGCCACATTAAATTCCTGAGTGTGTCAACGTACATTCGCAACAAAAGTCAAAACTAGACAAATAAACGACAGAGTAATGATGTAATTAATCCATATTTAATTTCCAAAGAACAAAAGATGAGTTAAGTCCTGCTATAATGTTAGGCTCCATAAACACACCCAAAACAGGTTTCTTTTTTTTTTTAATCGTGGGCTGTAAATTTTGACTTGAACATATTAGGTTAGCAATTTTCCTTTCAATTAGTGTCAACCTCAGGTATGAATCTTCTTTGCTAGTTAGGTAACCAATAGAAACTGAAGAGAACTATTGACTTCATGGGAACGGATGCAATGGTGTCAGGCATCGGCTTATTTTAAGATTTTGCTGTCACTTCGTTCACTGCATTCTTAAATGTATGGAGTGGAGAAGGGAATGGCAACCCACTCCAGTATTCTTGCCTGGAAAATTCCATGGACAGAGCACGGGGTCGCAGTTTGGACAGGACTGAGAGACTAACATTAAATGCACGGCTCCTCTGCGAATCACACGAACCCTGCAAACCGCATTCCATTCCATTTCCAGGCGGCGGCTGCACCCACAGTACTGAGTCACTCGGCCACCCGACTCCACCCTGCAATATCCCGGCTTTTACTTCCAAGGGGATCTGTTTGGTCAGGCCCCACCGCACCCTTGGAAGACCCAGGGATCCACTCCAGAGGGGCGTATAATAACCGGGGCTGACAGGAGGTCTTTTCACTACCACTACTGAGGACAGACTAAAAACTTCCCTCGCAGAGCTTCATCTGCAGGATAAGAAAAAGAAAACCGCGGATGAATTACAGCCCCAGAGAAGAAGGAATCCGCCGCACCCTGCAGCTCCAAGCTGGACCCTCGCACGCCCACTCTGCGCACGCGCGCGCACGCGCTCTCCGGCCTGTGGGCCGGGAGGTTGACAGAGGGTAGGGAGGGAGGGTGGGGGGCGGGCGCCGTCATGGCTGGCTCTGCCCGCAAGTTTTCTCACCTCGGTAAACGGGTCCATCGCCCCGGACTTCGCGTGTCGATTACGAGACGGCCAAAACGGTGGTTCAAATTCAGAAAAAGAAAAGTGAGTGCCGGCTCAGTGTGTCACTTGAAGAAAACAAGAAGGTAGCGGGGAACTCTCCCCAGCTCCTCTCCTCTTCCCCACTGCCTCCGAAGTCCGACTCGGCCAGCAGCGGCGGTTCAAATTTGAATTTCAGCGCCCGGACCCGCGCGCATGCGCACGGGCGGGGCGGGGGGCGGGGCACGCCTCTCCCAGCCCCGGCGCTAGATCACGTGGCCTCCCCGGGGCTGGGAGGTTCCCAGGGGTGGCTCCGCCGGCTCTGTGACTGCCTGGCCCAGGCGGCGGGGATGCCGCGGTAGGTGCGGCGCTCCCGCGCATCAACTGCCTTCTGGCTCAAAGCCCCACCCCCAACGCTCGCACACCCCACCCTGTTTAAGCGGATCCCTTCACACTCCTGTGCCTGGGCGTTCCTGCTTTCCTTCATTCCTAAATCTAGGATTAAGGGCCCTTCAGTTTGGAATCCCACTGGACCTTTGACCTTACGTAGCTTTCTGTTCATCTGCTCGCCAGCTCCTGCTTCACTCCAAGGTGGACTCAGTCTTGGCCTTCTTGAGGCGCAGGTCTGGTGAGCCCCCAGACACTTGTGGCTAATGACCAGTGAGCCGCCTTGGGCACTGGCCTTTATCACTGAGAAAATAAGGTTAACTTTAGCAGACCTGTTAATGCTTATACACGAAACTCCTGTCGGTCCTTCTTATTTTAACCCCATCAAACTGCATGCAGAGTTAGAGCTAAGAAGCTACCCACTTTTATCCTTTCTTTTACAGGTAAGAGAAGGGAGACCCTAACACTTTAACTGGTCCTGGAGAAATGAAAAATCCCATTCTCGGCTCATAGTCTACTTTCCACCACTGGATCATAGCTAGGTCTCATGACTATTCTTTATTGAGAATTGAAAAATACGTTTTATAGTTACTGTATCAGATTCATACCTTATTTAGCAAGTCTATATTAGGGCTTGTTATAAAGAGGACAAACAGGTTGTGACTTGTTCATCCTTAACACTGTGTAGATTTCTGAATGGCTGCCCAACAGTTGAACAGGCCAAAACCATTACTCCCAAGTAAGAATTTCAGTATATTTAATATGGTTTCTATCTTAGCAAGTCAGTGAACATTACAAAAAGTATTTCACTAGTAATATCTGTAATTTGAATTGTGGTACTGTATGTAGTAATGGAAAGAATTCTGAGCGTGAGATGAGAAGAAATTCCTTGGGGCCTTGACTCCACCAGGACTTTGTGACCCTAGGCTTTCGGCAAATCATTTAACTCATTATCTTTTAAACCTTTTTGGGAATCATAGACTCCTTTGAAAATACGATTAAAGCTTAAAAATGCCCTTTCAACCATAAGCATTTTAAGATATGATTCCATGAAGTTCATGGTCACAGATTGTGAAGTTTCTCAGTCCTGTCCGACTCTTTGCAACCCCATGGAGTGTAACCTATCCATGGGATTTTCCAGGCAAGAGTACTGGAGTGGGTTGCCATTTCCTTCTCCAGGGGATCTTCCCGACCAAGGGATTGAACCTGGGTCTGCCGCGTTGCAGGCAGACACTTTACGCTCTGAGCCCCCAGGGAAGCCCGGTCACAGGTTAAGAACCTCCAATTTAGCCTCTTTGGATTTTGGTTTTCTCATCTGTAAAACCAAAATAATCAGCTGTCCTGCCTTTCTCAGAGTTGTTAGGCCAATCGGGTAAAAAACTGAGAGCAATCAAAAAGTATTCTATAATAAGTAATAAGGCCCTACCCAAGTGTTTTGAATTATTAATATCTAACTCAAAAGTGTTGGCTTCCCTGATTTCTCAGTTGGTAAAGGATCCACCTGCAATGCAGGAGACCCTGGTTCGATTCCTGGGTCAGGAAGATCCCCTGGAGAAGGGATAGGCTACCCACTCAAGTATTTTGGCTTGGAGAATTCCATGGACTATATAGTCCATGGGGTCACACAGAGTTGGACACAACTGAGTGAGTTTCACTTTAACTTTCTTTTCAACTCAAAAATGTTAATTGCTCATTTGTGTCTGACTCTTTGTGACCACATGGACTGTAGCCCTCCAGGCTCCTCTGTCCATGGGATTCTCCAGGTAATACTGAAGTGGATAGCCACTCCCTTCTCTAGGGCATCTTCCTGACCCAGGGATCGAACCCAGGTCTCCTGCATTGCAGGTGGATTTTTTTCCATCTGAGCCACTAGGGAAGCCCATGCTAGCTATGAACCAAAGAGAAAAGATGCTTGAATTTTTTTTTTCAAGTGCTTGACAAGAAAGTATTGGGTATATTAGGGTTGGAGGTTCACGAGGAAGTTTACACAGCATTGGAAATGAGTCATTAGAAATTTATGAAACCCTTTGCCTTCCAGCTTTGACCTCTATGAGCCTTAGATTCTTTATGCCTGTGTGCCTGCATGCTCAGTCATGTCCAACTCGGCAGACTCATGAGCCCATGGGGCTCCTTTGTCCATGGAATTTTCCAGGCAACGGGAGTGTGTTGCCATTTTCTTCTCTAGGGGGTCTTGCCAACCCAAGGTTGGAACTCGCATCTCCTGCATTGCAGGCAGATTCTTTACCACTGAGCTACCACGTAAGGCCCTTAGATTCCTTATAACTGGATTCTGATAAAGACTAAAAGAGACAGAACATGTAGCACAATATAACTACTCAGAATATTTATGTTTATTCACAATCTGTCTTTACCCTGATAATGATGATAATAGCAACCTATAAAGCTGAAGTTTGTTAAACCCATATTCTGTGCCAGAAGCTGTGCTAGAGATTGAAGTCTCAGTTCAGTTCAGTCACTCATGTCCAACTCTTTGCGACCCCATGGACTGCAGCACATCAGGCTTCCCTGTCGATCACCAACTCCAGAGCTTATTCAAACTCATGTCCATTAAATCAGTGATGCCATCCAACCATCTCATCCTCTGTCCTCCCCTTCTCCTCCCACCTTCAATCTTTCCCAGCATCAGGGTCTTTTCCAGTGAGTCAGTTCTTCGCATCAGGTGGTCAAAGTGTTGGAGTTTCAGCTTCAGCATCAGTCCTTCCAATGAATATTCAGGACTGATTTCCTTTAGGATTGACTGGTCGGATCTCCTAACAGGTCTCCCTGTTTCCCTTCTTACCCCCTGATAGTTAGTTAGGACTACCTTTCTTCTTTAAAAATTGTGCTATAAAATATTTCCAATGTAACAAAAAATTAGTGAATAGAACAGATAACCATGTACACTTAGCTTAAAAACCTTTGTAATTAAAGTCTCCTATGTATTCCTTCTTCCTACCATTTACCTTCCACTCTCCAGGGGTTAAACTATCCTGATTTTCATGTTTATCATTCCTGTGAAATGTATGTGTTTTTATTACATCTACATATATATCTATATCAATATATAGTGTTTTACATAAATTTTGTTTTTACTGTAAGTAAAAATTTCTGCTATTGGTTTCTTTTCCGAATATTCTCTTTATGAGATTCATCCTCACTAACAGGTATAGCTGCATTTTGTTCATTATCACTGCTATAATTCTATTTTATTAACATACTTGTAATTTATATATCCATTATCCTGTTAGTGGACATTTAGCTCATTTCCAGTTTTTCATTCCAAAGACCGCATGATACCATGAATATTTTTATGTCTCCTTATGTCTCCATGCAAAACTTTCTCTAGGGTAATATACTTAAGAATTAGAGGATCATTTCAAAAAATATATTTCAGTATTACTGCCAGATATTAAAAATAAATTGCCCTTCAAAGTGATTTTAACAACTTATATTCTAATCACCTTTCTATGAGTATGTCTGCTACTATAGTCCCTCCTTAGTACTTGGATGCTTTTTAGCTTCTATCATTCTTGTTTGTATACATTTCTCCTATGACTAGTGGAAATGAACATTATTTCGTGTGTTTATTGGCCTGTCTGTTTTCCTTTTCTGTGAATTTCAAATTCATATCCTTTGCTCTTTTTTCTATGTGGTTGCTTTTTCTTATTGATTCAAAGTGTTTTGTTGTTTTATAGGAAAATAACTCTTCCTGGTTTTTTGGCTGGAAAATATCTTTTCCTAGTTTATGGTTTGTCTTTTCATTTTAGGATGTCTTGGATGTACAGAAATGTTTACTACTAATGTAATTAAATACATGTATATTTTCCAGTAGGGTTTGTGCTTTTCGTGTCTCAGTAAATCCTTCCCTACCCTGAGGTTGTAAATATGTTCTCCCATTTTTCTTCTAAAAAGCATGTTTTTTTTTTCATGGTTCCATCTTTAAATTATCTGGGTTGATCATGTTTTTTATCTGGAAAACCAAATGTCTTAGCAGCATTTATTTAGTTGTCCGTTCTTTCCCCACTGACCTATAATGCAACTTTTGTATGATACCTGTACATGGAGGCCTGTGTAGAAGCTCTTTATTCTATTCTACTGGTCTATTCGTCTAGTCCTCTTCCAATATCAAACTGTTTTCATTATGTAATCTTTGTGATACACAATCTTTGTGATACCACATCTTTGTGATATCAAACCATTTTATTAGTGCACATGGATATATCTTCATTAATTTAAGCCTACTTTAACATCTTCCAAAAATATATATAATGTACTTCCATAAAGATCGTTATACTCTTTAATGTATTCACATGTATCTTTGTTGTTATTGCTTTTAAAATTATACATTTTAATTATACTTTAAACTACCTATTATTAGTATATAGGAACATGATTATTACAAACCTACTGAACTATCATATTTTAGTAATTCATCCAAAGGGTAGGAGCTTTTTAAATTGTAAATTATATAGTGTCAATTTCTTGTGTAGAGCCAGTTTATGTCTTCTGTTGCGAGTAGGATAATATGCAAATTCTTTATCATACCTACAGGGCCCTACATGATCTGGGCCTAACCTTCCTCTCCTCATATCCTGCTGCTGCTGCTGCTGCTAAGTCGCTTCAGTTGTGTCCGACTCTGTGCAACCTCATAAACAGCAGCCCACCAGGCTCCTCTGTCCCTGGGATTCTCCAGGAAAGAACACTGGCGTGGGTTGCCATTTCCTTCTCCACCTAGTATCCTAATATTCTCCAAATATCACAGTGTGCATATGTGCTAAATCACTTCAGTCATTTTTGACTCTTTGTGACCCTATGGACTGTAGCCCACCAGGCTCCTCTGTCTGTGGGGATTCTCCCGGCAAGAATACTGAAGTGGGTTGCTATGCCCTCCTCCAGGGCATCTTCATGACCCAGGGATTGAACCCACACCCCTTATGTCTTCTGCACTGGAAGGCAGGTTCTTTACCACTAGCATCCCCTGGGGAGGCCCAAATATCACAATTGTTGTAGAGTTGCTAAGTCATGTCCAACTCTTTGCAACCCATGGACTGAAGCATGCCAGGCTTCCGGTCCATCACTATCTCCCAGAGTTTCTCAGACTCATGTCCATTAAGTCAATGATGCCATCCAAACATCTCAACCTCTGTCGTCCCCTTCTCCTCCTGCCCTCAATCTTTTCCAGCATCAGGGTCTTTTCCAATGAGTCAGCTCTTCGCATCAGGTGGCCAAAGTATTGGAGCTTCAGCTTCAGCATCAGTCCTTCAATGACTATTCTGGTTTGATTTCCTTTAGGATTGATCTCCTTGCTCTCTAGGGGACTCTTAAAAGAGTCTTCTCCAACACCACAGTTCAAAAAGCATCACTCAGCCTTCTTTATGGTCCATCTCTCACATCCATACGTGACTACTAGAAAAACCATAGCTTTGACTATATGGACCTTTGTTGGCCAAGTGATGGCTCTGCTTTTCAATATGCTGTGTAGGTTTGTCATAGCTTTCCTTCCAAGGAGCAAGCATCTTTTAATTTCATGGCTGCAATCACCACCTTCAGTGATTTTGGAGCCCAAGAAAATAAAGTCTGTCACTGTTTCCATTATTTCCCCATCTATTTGCCATAAGTGATGGGACCAGATGCCATGACCTTAGTTTTCTGAATGTTGAGTTTTAAGCCAGCTTTTTCACTCTCCTCTTTTACCTTCAGCAAGAGACTCTTTAGTTCCTCCTTTCTTTCTGCCATTACGGTGGTATCATCTGCATATCTGAAGTTATTGATATTTCTCCCGCCATCTTGATTCCAACTTGTGATTCATTCAGCCTGGCATGTACATCATGTGAAAATATCACAATACTTTACCTTTTTTCCACTAGTCTCATAAGCCTTTCTTCCAGTCATAAAAATATGCTAAATTTGTTCCTGCATCAAGAACTTTCCACCCCCTGGACATTCCTAGGTCTACTCATGGCTTCTCCTCGTTAATTGGGTCTAAGCTTAAATGTTCTACTTCCTCAAAGAAGACTTCCCTGTTCAGGTGGCCACACCACTTCTCTTTGCCCCTAAGCCACTTTCTATCCTATTATTCTGATATGTTTTCTTCATTGCATTTACCACTTATATGGGGTTATTTTAATTATGTGTTTAAGTTTAATCATCTCCTTTTTCTGCTAGAGTGTAAGCAATGGAATGGCAGGGACTTGTCTTTATAGCTATTACCTAGCACCCTGTGGCAACATGAGTTCAATAGATATCTGTTAAATGAATGAATGTAAGATAACTAGTATTCCATTTTTAGAGATGGGGGAAACTGAGATCCAAAGAGGCTATTTGGTTTAAGACCATCACCTAAAAATTTGAAGCAGATCTGCCTGACTTCAAATCCTGCTTATGATCTTGACATTTCAGTTAATTTGTTTATTTTCATCACAAAAGACAAAATAATAATGTAAATGTGCTCTTGAGCTATATATATAGTGCTGAATAAACTGCAACCTTAAAATTGCTTTCTTAAAAAAAATTTTTAATTGCTAAATCAGGAAAGAAAATACATGTTATGTTCACATGATTATTAGTTAGACTATACAGTTTGCCCTAATCATATTAATATTCTGAAAGTCATCAAAAGTGTTTCTCTAATTATTTAAATAAAAGCCACAATCTTCCAAGTTATTTAAAGATCACAGCTTATTATATTAATTTAAATATAGAATCAAGGCTCCAAAGCAAAGATGACTAGAAATTAAATGTTGCCCTAGTAAATTAATATTTGCCCCTTCAAAGATCCTTTTTTTTTTCCAACAAAGGAAATAGTGATCATTTTTTCACAGATAAAATAAATGGAGGGCAGCAAAACAGAAAAAGTGTAAAGCATTTACCTCAGTAAGGACACTCCTTATGTTATGTATGTACAGTTAATTTTTCAAAGTACTTTATACACATTCTCATTTCATTCACAAAATAATACAATGAAATAAATATTCTTATTTTTACAGGCATCAAAAAGGCCAAGATCTAACCATAAAGCAGTGGCAAGAAGGATTAAGGTCAAGATCTCTACTTCAGGTTATCTGGCTGAAGGGCCACTTCTTTTACACCTTTATTATAATGAAGAAATAAGAATCATCAAGTGATGTCATATACATGGTTACTAAGTGGGATAGTTTATTTCTTACAGTATCTGGTATTAATGGACATTAGTATCATATCTTAAGGGTTTAAACAGTTTTAAGGGTTCTTAGCATCAGATGTTTTTCTCTTCTAATTTAATCAATGAAACTGTTTCATATTAAAAATTGAGGGAAAACAGATTGTGTGTTTCCTAACATACTGTATTGTTTCCAAAAGTCAATCCAACTACAGTCGTGTTCCCTTTATCCAATCAACTTTTCTCAAAATTTATATCTTTCATCTCCTTTTTACTTTCTCAAGTGGTTTATAAGGGCACTAAGGGAATCATTCCATTCTTTAAAAGGGCCACAGTAAATCCTTTCATAAAGAGGAATTCTTTTATGTACTTACTGCACTATAATTTATATATTGCTGCTTTTCCATACCTCGATTTCTCAAAGCTATAATCACAGAACCTATTTTTTAATAACAAAAAATTTTCCACATTTCACCTTGTGGGATCTTAGTTTCCCAGCCAGGGACTGAGCCTGGACCCTGGTCAGTGAAAGCTGGGAGTCCTAAACATTGGACCACCAAAGAAGTCTAAAAATTTTTTAAATTTTTAGCAATCCCGTATAAAAGAAAAAGTGGGCCTCCCAGGTGTCATTAGTGGTAAAGAACCCACCTGCTAATGCAAGAGACAGAAGAGATGCAGCTTCCATCTCTGGCTTGGGAAGAGCCCCTGGAGGAGGGCTTGGCAATCCACTCCAGTCTTCTTGCCTGGAGAATCCCATGAACAGAGGAGTCTGGCAGGCTACAGTACATGGAGTTCCAAAGAGTGGAACATGACTGAAGCAACTTAGCACACATGCATATAAAAGTAGCTCTTAAATATTAAAGAATAACAGAAGTCCATGTTTCTTAAACATCCAACTCTCTTTATGGAACCTCAAAAATAAAACATTCTTAAATTTGAAACAAGAAGGTTCATTGTACTCCACTGATGTCTATCATGAACTTCTTTAGTTTCCAAACACTTAAACAATGTCTCCTCACATAATCTTTCCAGACGTTGCTTGGTTCTTCTCTTCAGTCATTCAGTTCAGTTCAGTTCCATCGCTCAGTCGTGTCCAACTCTTTGCGACCCCATGAACCGCAGCATGCCAGGCCTCCCTGTCCATCACCACTCCCAGAGTCCACCCAAACCCATGTCCATTGAGTCGGTGATGCCATCCAACCATCTCATTTTCTGTTGTCCCCTTCTCTTCCTGCCCTCAATCCTTTCCAGCATGAGGGTCTTTTCCAATGAGTCAGCTCTTCGCATCAGGTGGCCGAAGTATTGGCGTTTCAGCTTCAACATCAGTCCTTCCAATGAACACCCAGGACTGATCTCCTTCAGGATTGACTGGTTGGATCTCCTTGCAGTCCAGGGGACTCTCAAGAGTCTTCTCCAACACCACAGTTCAAAAGCATCAATTCTTCTGTGCTCAGATTTCTTTATAGTCCAACTCTCATATCCATACATGACCACTGGAAAAACCATAGCTTGACTAGACGGACCTTTGTTGACAAAGTAATGTCTCTGCTTTTCAATATGCTGTCTAGGTTGGTCATAACCTTCCTTCCAAGGAGTAAGCATCTTTTAATTTCATGGCTTCAATCACCATCACCATCCTCAGTCATTAGCCCTTCCAAATGTTAGGGTTCCTTACATTCACTTTCATTCTCATCTCCCCTGCTTCTCACATCTTTCTCAGCACCATTCATGACTGACAGGTACTGAGCCCTCAAGAAATGTTTGCTGATGATTTCTCTGTGAATACAGCGTCCTACACTGACCTCATCATTCCACAAACCTTCCACCTCTGCTGACCTCCTCCTCTCTTCTACTTGTGCACCAGAAAGTGCTCCATCTTCAAGATTTCAAATCCCCAAACTGGCCTCCTGATTGAAATATCAAATCCTTATCTCTTTTCCACTGTTCCTCTTGCCTACTAAACCTGCAAGCCCCCTCTGATCCTAAACTTCAGTTCATGCTCCTCTTCCAACTCTTGGTCAAATTGAAAATGTAGTTCATTTGTAGCCATGCCTATGTATTTATTAGCCCTGACTTCCTATCTTGCCCTTTCCTATGAGGCTACACACTAAGTAGTTCATCTATCCTTGAAAGGTGCCAGGCAAGCTGCATTTAATTTGCCAATATGTAACGTTCTTCCAGTGGTTCAGATGATAAAGAATATGCCTGCAGTGCAGGAGACGTGGGTTCGATTCCTCCCTCAGGAGAGGAATGGCAACCACTCCAGTATTCTTGTCTGCGAAGTCCCATGGACAGAGGAGCCTGGCAGGCTACAGTCCATGGGGTCACAAAGAATCAGACACAACTTAGCAGCTAAAGAACAAAAACTTACACACATGCACACACACATATATACACATGTAGCTATAGTTACATACTGCTACTACTGCTAAGTCACTTCAGTTGTGTCCGACTCTGTGCGACCCCATCCCTGGGATTTTCCGGGCAAGAACACTGCATTTCCTTCTCCAGTGCATAAAAGTGAAAAGTGAAAGTGAAGTCGCTCAGTCATGTCTGACTCTTCGCAACCCCATGGACTGCAGCCTACCAGGCTCCTCTGTCCATGGGATTTGCCAGGCAAGAGTACTGGAGCAGGGTGCCATTGCTGTGTGTGTGCAGAGTCCCTAATTTATGATGGTTCTACTTACCATAATTGGACTTTATAATATTGCAAAAGCAACATGCTTTTAGTAGAAACAGTACTTGGAATTTTGATCTTTTTCCTAGACTACCAGTAAGCAGTACAATGCTTTCTCATAATGCTGGACAGTTGCACCAAGATGCCATTCCATCAGCCATGTGATCCGAAGGATAAACAATACCCATACAACCGTTCTGGTTTTCATTTCCAGTACAGTACTCAATAAATTACATGAGATATTCATCATTTTGTTATATAATAGGCCTCATGTTAGATAATTTTGCCCAACTGTAGCCTAATATGATTGTTCAGAGCATGTTTAAGGTAGGCTAGGCTAGGCAATAATGTATGGTAGGTTAGGTACATCAAATGCATTTTTGACTTACATTGTGTTTATCGGGACATAACTCTATCATAAGTTGAGGAAGATCTATGTGTGTTATGTGTGTGATGTGTGTGTGAATAACTCTGTTGGCTCCTTTTCCTCTGCTCCACAATTAAGTGACAGAGAACTTTAAATTCTACCCTGGTTGCTCTTGTGTACCTATACACACTCCCTAAGTGATCTCATCAGATCCACTGACTTAGAATACCTTCCATATACTGATGGTTCCCAAATTGATTTCTTTGGCATGATCTCTTCCTTGAGCTCTGAACAAGAATATTCAACTAACTATATGAAATCCTGACTTAGACTTTTAACTAGTATATTAAACTTAAATCCAAAATGAAATTTCCCCACTAAACCTATTCTTTCTCCAATCTTCTCTATTTCCGTAAATGGTACCACTATCTACCCAGTTGCTCAAGCCAAAATCCTAGGAGTCATTGTCAATTCCTTCTTCCTTTCCTCCTACTCTGTCCACACACCCAACCTACCTATCAACTCTGCCTCCAAGTATACCCTGGGTCTTTTACATCTCTTCCTCTCTAGAACTTCCGTTGCACTCTAAGCCATCATCACCATCACTGGACCCACTGCAAGAGTCTCCTGTCTGGTTTCCCTGCTTCCACTCTCATCCTCTTTTCCGTTGTTCTCAGAACAGTTAATGCGATCTTTAAAAACAAAAAACAAAACACAGCTGTGTTTTAAATCCACCAGTGGCTTCTGACTGCACTTAGAAAAAAGTCCAAACTCCTTTCCTTAGCTCCTGCCTACCTCTGAGATCTTTTCTCCTACCACTTTTCTCAGTTCACTGGATTCCAACCATGCTGACCTTCACATAGCCCCAGGATCAGGATAAGATCATCCCATCTCTGGGCTTTTGCCTTTGCAGTTCTCTCTACTATGAATGCTTGAAGCCTCCCTCTACGCGAAATGTCTTGTGGCTGACTTTTTCTTATTCTTCAGGTCAGTCAGTTCAGTTGTTCAGTCGTGTCTGACTCTTTGTCCATATCCTTCAAGTCTCAGCTCAATAGTCACTTCCTCTGAGGCTTTTTCTGACCCCTCCATACTTCAAGTTACCATCTCTACTATACTAGAGATGTACAGTACTATACTGCATAGCACCTATTTGTATTTGATATTACATCATTTGTTTGTTGTTCAGTCGATAATCAGGTCCAACTCTTTCATGACCCCATGGACTGTGGCCCACCAGGCTCCTTTGTCCATGGGATTTCCTAGGCAAGAATACTGGAGTGGGTTGCCATTTCCTTCTCCAGGGGATCTTCCTGACCCAGGGATCGAACTCATGTCTTCTGCATTGGCAGTGGAATTCTTTACCAGTGAGCCACCAGGGAAACCCACATCACTTGTTTACTTGATTGTTATTTCTCCTACTGTTAGTTCCAAGAGAACTAGGACTCTATTTGATTTATTCACCACAGCATCCCTGAGGTATGTGCCCAAGGACTGCCTGATACAAGTATATCATGTTTACATATGTATGTATGCAGTACCAGTATGCATATCTTTCAGTATGCAAAATCTTTCCTGTATGTGTGCAGTATAAATAATTAATAAATATCTGTGGAAGGAGTATATTAATGCACATCTTGATTTCTTCAAAATGTAACTAAGATGAACAATATATCTGTTGTCTGATTAAAAAGTATCCGTCTTCCCTTATTTACAATAAGACATCCTATCAAAAAATTTCATAGTGTTTCCCAGAATTTTTGTTCTGTTCTATTTTCATTGACGTGAAAAGGCAAAGGCCATTTCACAAAGCATTCTTTTATTTGGCTTCCACTTCATGCTTTTCATTCTCCTGAAAAAGACATACTGAACACGTT